AAGCAACAGACACATGTTGTCACAACACATGAATGTAGAGATGAATAATTTATATTTTTAGTCATGAGCACTTTCAGTTAAAATTTTGTAAAATAAAGTAATGTATATCAAAATCTCAATTTTGTTGAATAAAATATTGGATGCGCATGACATATTCAATGTGTTGCCATTTATTGCGGCAGACACTGTACCCACGTGTATTTTACTTGTATATTCCTTTACCTTGCAAACTGCTTTTACGGTATTTCACTCCATTTAGTCGATTGGCAGGTTGTGTGGTGGGGTAGTGTGGGTATTCCCACCTATTCCAATACCTTTATTTCCCGCACCTTCGATTAGCACGATTTCTTAAGTACAATGCGAAATAAGTTCATACATACTGTACATATACTGTATTCCAGTGTGGTACATTAGGACCACATTATAGTGGGAGGCCCATCTGACAGCAGTGGCAGACGCGAGTACCGTAATTGCAGGACGACACATTAACTCACCTTGACCTCGCTTGAAAATGAGAAAATGACTGTTCCATTCGAAATTGTCCAATTAGACTATTTTACGAACAAAAACATCTCATTCAATATATAGGACCTGTAAATACATTTCAAGGTCTTTAGTTATGTTTAGTTTGTAAAAATTTAGTTTATTAATTCGCATTCATTTGTAGTGACATAAATGGGGTCACTATTGCGTTTAGCGCCAGCTACTGCCACAAGAGTGGAGCTGTGTCTTGGATCTCTCTCTGGCACCAGAGTGGGTATGGCAAGGAAGCAGGCCCTAGGGGGCATAGTCCTGGTAACAGTGAGAGAGAGGTCGAGTGAGGACATGACAGTCTGGGTGACCCTGAGAGGGCACGTGACTGGACGAGGTGGCAAGGGGGGCTCAAAAGGGGTGGAGAGAGGGACACGTGATGTAGGGGCCAGAGCCTTCGGGAAGGATCTGGAAGGGGGTTGTGGCCAAGGGCGGAGCCCCAAGCCCCGATCGCGACTGTTCTCTGGAATCAACCCTCGGTGCTACGTCTCTCCGGTCTTCGCTCGGCATCGTGGGTCAGTCAGAATGTTACTGACTGACTCGGTTATGTAGTTGCCCCCGTTGTGGCTTAGGTGCAGTGGCGGCTCCTGCAAAATCTCTCAGAGGGGGCAAATGTCTGGATGATTGATAAGGATAAGGTCCACCCATGCAATGGATAAATTAACAGCTTAAGCATGTAAAGGCAACTTCACTACTTTAATATTAATGAAAAATAAAGTGACTCTTGCAATACATCTCCTTGTTTGTTTATATACTCACTATTATTACAATCCACTCAGTTTCTTTTATTAAAGTTTCCACTAGGTGGCGACAAATAATATTGTTGACTGAAACGTGCTTACGTATGATGACGTAAGCACGTATGTTGAATTGGTCGTGCTAAATAAATGATTTTATTTAAATTTGTTGTGCATATAAAGCAAAAGTCGACGCTATTTCCTGCACTAATGATCATCTGATATGGTGCTCATACGTTTACAGCCCTAAGTGATGAAAATGCCCAAAACCTATGGGCAGGGGAGAGCTTATCCATAGGAAGACCATTGTTAATTTCTCCACAGAGTGGTACAAATTTGATCAGCCTTGGATGGATGAATAAATATTGATGATGGGCTGAGTGAACCTACAGCTGAGCCACCTGGCTGTTGCACATACAGTACTGCAAACTACGGTAATTGCATTTATCGGAAGGAGATATGTTTTTTTTTATCTTAGTCATCATTAAGTTATATTATTTGTAAGTGCATGCACTTGAAGACATTCAATCGATTTTTCAAATGTAAGTTTTGCACACTTATCTCTGTCCGTTTGTGAAAGGGCGGCCAAAACTCTCGTAAAATTGATCCGAAATTATATAAATGTTTCTATAAATGTGTTTTTTTGTTATTGGGGAAGAACTCTAAAGAAAAACAGATCAGAGGTTTGTGCAAAACCTTACAAAAAAAACATCCACTGCTAAATATAAAATCCTTTTCGGCCAAAGTGATGACATCGCACGCCATGCGCGTGTCTCGCGATGATGCCCGGTATGCGTGATGACATGGAGCAGTGGTGTGACTTCATCTCAAGCTGCTCGGAAGATTGCGGTAAGCATCGTCGGCCAATGGTCAAACGGGAAAATGTCAAAACTGGGTGGTTTTTAACTTTTGCCGACAAAACTGGATCCCAAATGTCAAAACTGGGTGGTCTTGGAAAACGACAGGCAAAACAGGGTGGTGCTTTTTGATATGACAAAACTGGGTGATGTTCAATGTGGACAAATGTCAAAACTGGGTGAAGAAGGTGTACGATTTAATGTATCATTTTGTACACGTTTAGGTCCTTGCGTTATTCATCCATATGTCGCCACAGATTTAGAGCGTTCCAAATGATGTTTCTCGTGGCTCATGTTCCATACCTTGCACCACAACTTCCCGTTTGCATACTGGCACAGTGTGCCAGCTCGCTACTACAGTAACACTTACTTGCCATATGTATACTGGCACAGTGTGCCAGCTTGCAACTACAGTAACACTTTCAGCTCGCGAACATACACGTACTTGCCATTTGTATACTGGCACAGTGTGCCAGCTCGCTTACTTGCCGTTTGTATACTGGCACAGTGTGCCAGCTCGCTACTACAGTAACACTTACTTGCCATATGTATACTGGCACAGTGTGCCAGCTTGCAACTACAGTAACACTTACAGCTCGCGAACATACCCTAACTTGCCATTTGTATACTGGCACAGTGTGCCAGCTCGCTTACTTGCCGTTTGTATACTGGCACAGTGTGCCAGCTCGCTACTACAGTAACACTTACTTGCCATATGTATACTGGCACAGTGTGCCAGTATACAAATACCAAGTGTTTGGATGAATGGGGTGCTGGCACACTGTGCTAGTATACAATTATCAAGTGTATTTGACAAATGTCAAAACTGGGTGCACCCTGAGTGTCCAAAACTCAAGTTTTTGGCCACCCAGGGTGCACCCAGTTTTGACATTTGGGATCCAGTTTTGTCGGCAAAAGTTAAAAACCACCCAGTTTTGACATTTTCCCATGGTCAAACTACTGCTTTGATGAAGGCCTCCCCAAGCCGTCTTGCGATGTAACAATTCGCCTAAGCAGCACCGTGCACGGGAACTCTATATAAACTAAAAACGAAATTTGTATTATTTTTTTCCAGTTAAGGCCCACTGACATATGTAACTCTTTTTCAGAAGCGACCTGGCTACCTCAAATGATAGCTGCAACGAAGTGGCTTATCGTGTGGAAATGTATAGCAGCCAAATATATGTGGAGGGGAAGACCCCGAGACAATTCCATGCAACTACGGAGAGACACCGCAAACTCCAAATATCCAGCAGGTGACAGGGTTGGGATCGAACCCACGACCTCCTGTATACCTGGAGAGGTCGTTAACATCTCCCCACCGTCGTTTGTCTAAGCCTCTAAGGCTATATGATCTCCCTTGTAGCCTGTATCAGACTCTTGGGGCAAGTGCTGTTAGCGAGCACCTATGAAGGCCGGCACGGCACACGTGGGGGTGGGTGTCCAGCACCACGCCCGACCGCCTTTGTCTCCCCAGTGGCGATGTTTATACTTCACATCGCACACCGGTACAGTTCTGATTTGAGGCGGAGTCGACGAGTTGTTACAATCGTTTGTTTTGAAATATCGGTAACCGAATGAAAATGAACTGGTAAAAACGTTTTCCGATTTGCCGCACACTTGTGTCGTGAAACCCGCCACCACCCGACACAACCAATTAGCATAACCCCTTATCAGTGCCTACCTTATTTCAGACCAATTCAGACCTTATTGGTCACCCCGTGCCTTTATAAATCTCAACGTTCATCCTACAAAGTCACATTACAAGGGAGAAACACAATCGGAGACACATTTTTTTTTGCCCATGTTGAAACGGCTGTACGCCGTATGGACATGAAAACTCAATTTCCCTGGACAAGAATACGGGGTAAACTGCATGGGTTGACACTGAATTAGTAAGGGTTTGTCACGTAAAACAAAACATGCCAATTAGTTACCGTATTACTTCAGCACACAATTGTTTTGGAGAGTAAACACAGCATTTACAATTCTAGCACGACGTTTCGCCGGTGATTGCAACCAGCTTCATCAGGACGACAGCCAGAACTATGAATAAGTCCTCCCGTGTCGGTGACGAAACCTCGCTAACAATTGGCGATTTAATCAATGGGAAAAGTTTCTTAAGTCTCGATTTAAAGCTTTCGTGACTGCAGGGATCCATATTCTTGGTTATTTTAGTAAAGTCACTTTACCGAAAGAACCAAGAATAAGTTTATTAAGTCCACGTCGCTGTCAAACTCGGCAGTATACATGAGTATTGTATCCGCCACAGTACAGCAAGTGTAGGCACGTCTAGTCAGCGTGGAAGAGTTGACACAATGCCCCAATTGCTCCTTGTAATAGGCCCTCCCGATAATAATATAATATACGTAAAGCATCATCGTAGCGTCAACAATTACGGAGCAATTGTTAAGTGCTCGAAATGCACGTGTCGTTACGTGTTTTTACTACGTATGTGCCACATAGAGAACCGTTCTAAATGTGTTGTGTACATCTCAAGCGGACATTTCCGTTTGGAGAGAAAGAAACCCACATTTGGTTTAAATAACAGAAATAATAATACAAAAAAACCCTAAAATTGCACGGCGTTTCAAAAAAAATGTTAACACTTCCGAAAATTTCCAACAAGACCACCTGGATAAGACTCCAGGCATGTGTTGACAATGATGACGAACAAGTGGAGACTGCCTTTTTGAAGCTATTAACATACATTCGTCATAATGTCACAGTATATTATCCGTTCTTTTCAATGAAAAAAACGTTAGCCCCATATAAGTGTTAACATTTTTTGTTAAAGCACCCTGTAAAACGAATCGCGTTCTTCCTCCGTGCCTCCGCGCGACCCGTACGGAATGCGGTGACGTCACGCGCGTGACGCGTCTGGCTGCGGGTGGGTTGGAGGCCCAGGACGAGAACGAAGAGACTCTAAGGTCGCCAGCAGCCGCGCGGTTACCACTTAAACTGAAGATTATAAAACAACAACGACGACGACAACAACAACAAACAACAACGCCACAAGAGAGTGGTCTCGACGTCGACAAGCAGCCGCTTGCGAGAGAGCAGCCCGCAGCGAACCATGTTCTCGCTCGCCACGCTCCCGTCACAGGTAGGAAGCGCTCCGGGTCGCCGTTCGCCCGCGGCCTGGAGGAGTTCGCAACTTCACTCGGCCAAGCTACCAGGGCACCCTCCCCCTCCTCCTCCTCAATCTCCCGGTGTTCTCCCCGTCTCGATATCGCTACGGTTGTTGAGTTGTGTTCGTTAGTTGACCGTCGTGCAACTCGGCCTGCGTTGGTCGACGCTGCGTTATCTGCTAGTCGACATGAGCGCGGCCTTCCCCTTGTGAGTGACGCATTGTGGAGTTCGTGGCGAGGCCGTCGGACGCAGCTACAAGAGAGATGCCCTCCCTTCCCACACCGAACAAACTCGTTGGCATACATAACCCTGTCAACCCTTACGGGTGACCCCGTGTTTGTTCTTGTACGGGGAAATTGAGTTTTCAGGTCCGTACGGTCAAATAAATGCGTCTTGTTTTGTTTGTCTTTCTTGCTTGTGATGGGGCTTTGTAGGATGAACGTTGAGGTTTATAAGGGCATTGGGTGACTAATAAGGTCTGTGTTGGTCTAATAATGTAGACACTGATAAGGGCTTGACAGGTATGATATACACTACACTGCTATACATTACACTACGATACGTTACACTACTATACATTACACTACTATACACCCCACTAAATATTTCACTGCTAAACACTACGTACTATACACTACAATACTATACCATACCTGTCAACCCATACAGTTTACCCCGTATTCTTGTACAGGGAAATTGAGTTTTCAGGGCTATACGGCGTACAGCCGTTTCGATGCGGGCAACAACAAAACATATGTTTCTATCTTGTGGTGGGACTTTGTAGGATGAAAGTTGAGATTCATAAGGGGCACGGGGTGACCAATACAGTCTGAATTGGTCTGTAATAAGGTAGGCACTGATAAGGGGTTGATCACGGGAGATCGGAATATTATCGGAGTGGGCTCGGTCAAGCGATTGCGCCCCCTTCAAAGAGAGATCGCACCTATTCAAGAGACGTTACATTCAAGAGGTGCCCTCTGGGTTCAGGGACTCATTTTAGAGTTGGCTCAAGAGGGTTAATGCAATTCCATTTTACAGTACTGTGCAGTGTTGGTTTATATAGTTTTCAGATGCCACCGCATCTCAAGACGCCGTACAGAACGTTGGAACATGGGCACCTCAGGGATAAAGGAGTCTTGATTTCATACGCAGAAGCAGAGGGTGGCGAGGGAGTGGTAGGAAGGATGAGTATTGTGCCCGGGCCTGTACGGGGGCACACAGTCGACAGGACAGATGGTTGGGGGAAGGGAGTTTCAGTTCGTGATCGGGAGGCCGACAGATCCAGGGGGCCAGCCCGCATGGGCTTTCACCTTCAGGTGTGCAGGCGGATCATACCCACTTAATTATTAACCATGTGGCTCAGAGATAATTCCATTTCAGAGTCATTGAGTCGGCACTCCCAAAATCCAGGTTGAGTTTCGCATTTTTAGTCGCCCATGATGAAACTGGGTTCTCAAGTGTACGAATTGATGGTGTCAAGGTGGTGTGCTGCTTTTTCCCAGCATTATAAATGGAAATGTCATGATTGACAATGCTGATGGCGCAATTGTAATATTAGTGGAAGAGAAACATTGATCACTCGTGAGTTCTGCTTTTATTTACAGCTTAGTAGAATGTAAGTTTTACATGTAAGTAGGCATGTGGGCTGGTGTGACGCTAGTTTATGTCAGCAGAGTTCCATAATTTTTTGCAGCTGTTCCTGAAACGTCTTTAATGTCCACATTGTACCAGACACGCTTTGGTAATATATTGTTGTCCCGTTACAATTAAATGGACACCCTTTGGCCTGGATTTAGGGAACGTATTTGGAACTAAAACCTCACTCCCTACTTCCTGGTGATGCAGCTGTTATGAAACCAGTTGCATGAGTTCTAATTGCTTCCTCTGGGGCCTGGTTTATTATTAAGGGGTGAGGGATGATTGGGTGGATGCTATGGGGGTCACCTTCACCCTTAGCTTCCAACAAAAAATTAATTTAAGCATGTGTTTGTGGTATTCCATGGTGTTTTAAAGGGGTTTTTTGCTTTTAAACTTTGAGCAAACACACCTGTGACTTAGCATTTGAGCTGCCTGGTTCATTTGTCCTTGTCTCTCATTCACCATGAGGAAATATATTATTTAAATGACACTTGGTTGTGTAATGGCTTGAGAAGGCTGTTTGTACCCATGTTGCATGTACGTTGCATCACTGCTTAAAAGTCAACACTTGGCTGATAGCATCGTTGTCTACTGCCTATGAATACGAATGCTGGCCAGAAATCTTAAATTATCTCACCAGGTTCATATTGCAGTATGCTAACCACTGCAATACCGCTCATCCCCATTTTGCTGATTAAAAAATTAAGTACGTGTACTTCAACACGTGTCCCACCTATCGTATGTTAACAACTTAATTTGGCCAAATAAAGAAATAATGTTTAAACACTGAGTGACTGAACAGACCAGATTCACACCTATAAAAATTGGTAATTGAGAGAATCTGCAATTTTTTGTCAACCATTAGGTACAATGCACATTTTCCAGGACATGGATTGGCTCTGTGTTTGAAATTAGAGCCTACATATATACTTGACACAATTTTCTGTGTTTAGTCAACAGTACCAATTGTACTGGAATGGTTGACCAAAATTTGGGCACAGCTCTGTAAGCTTAGTACAGAACCCACCACAACTCAAGCACAACTAGGTGAATATGGTTTGTGACCCACCTCAACTCGGGAATAACTATAGAGCAAGGTACACAACTGAGAACATGGCACCCAACTGGCACGTGAAACTGTGCTGCTATGTGTCGAGCAGGTGACAGTGCCACTGTCTCAACTGCTGAGTGCCTTGCACGCACTCAAGAGCGCCGCTAGCTCCGTGGGATCGGCATCTGTGCAACGGCGGCATCAGGAGGCAACGGCCGACTTGGAACGCATTTCATCTGGATCTGATGACACGGTGCGTTCAACTGCATTGCTCCACATGCCACAATTAGTGGCATTTCCATCTCCATGCCACGAGCAGACATGGCCACTGCAAAGACAGGGTTTTGAGACAGAACAGCATTGCTGTGCCAAGTGCCAACCTTATTGGCTAGTAAGCCTTCGTTACCAGCGAGTCATCAATCTCAGGGATAACATCTGTCAATGAGCCTATAGTTGTCTTGTGTTTGTATGTGATTTCGTTTAGATACATTAAAGTATATTTACACAACAGTGACATGCTATTTACAGAACAAGGTCATCATCAGCCACTATCTCGCCACACATTAAAGGCCTCCCTACACTGACACTATCCGTCATGGTTTTGCAATCCCATAATCCATGTCGCCCCTGCACATGAACACATCGCTCCATCTCTGAGGAACATTCTCTCCTTTGCCTGCCATTCTCTTATCCGTCTCACCCCTGTTAGAAAAGTGTCCTGCCCAAGGGAAATAATAAAATAATATTAATATAAAACAATAAAAATTCTCACGACGTTTCGAATGCAACACAAGCAATTATTATTTCCCTTCTACGTGACTTTACCAAAAGAACCAAGAATATGAATCCCTGCAGTCACGAAAGCTTTAAATCAAGATTTGTCCTGCCCAAGTTCACCGAGTTCTCAAATTTGCATTTGTTCTGTGATCCACGTGTTTAATGTTTTGTTTTTAATTCCCAACATGCATCTCTGCATGTTTCGTTGGTTTCTTTTCAGATTTTGTTAAATTTTGATTGTTATATGTTCCAATTGAAACTCTTCTTTAAGCACATTGGAAGGTTGATTTTCATTATAAAATCTAAGTTTACCAAATCTGATCCCAGTCTGCCTTAAATAAAGAAACAACAACCATTCTTAGTCTTTTTTTTTTACAAGAAATGACTGAAGAACTGCAAAATTTTATATTTGTATGAGAAAAACACAATTCTTTTTCAAGTTTTCTAAACAAAAAATTATTATTGAGATACTAATGGTAAACACACTGGAAATGCATAACTATGGCATTAAAGACTGCATCTGTGTATATTTGTTACACTGATCATTATTTCAACAGGATATGTTTAAAAATCTGTTAAGACAAACATGTAAACTTGGTCTGATTTGCAAGGGTGATGTGGATTATATCATACTAGCTTTACTACCCGGCTTCGCCCGAGACTTGGATTCTTGTCTTGGATTAATACATGGTCTACGCGGAGGGTGGGGGGATACGTGACATCAGCAGGCACACTGCGTGACGCTGCCGCATGCGGGTGACATCACAGATGTGACTTCACCGCTCACTTGCCGTGCAAAATATATCCATTATTGCGCCCCCCCCCCCCCCCCCACCAAAATACAAAAGTCAATTATTATACTTTTTGTATTGTGTACAGTATGGAAGCTACCCACATGCCAAATTTCAAATTTGTTGCATGTTGGGAAGGGATGCTAAACATTTCGAACAGACACACATTCACAAATGTATCTTTTTTTATATATATATAGAAGAAGAAAGATAAGTAGTACAAGGTGGTCTTGAGGAGAGGGTTTCGTGTTGTGGTACGGCGCAGGCGGCGCTGGTCTTCAGAGAGCTGGGGCTGCCGGAGCTGACTGTCGGCCATGCGGAGGAACTCCTCGGCCGGCTTCTGCCTCCTCCACAGCCTCCGTCTGCGCTCCCCTCGCTCAGCGCACACTGGAAATCTTCCCACACCTCCTCGCAGACCTTCTTCCAAAACAAGCATGGTTAGTGAGAGCCATGTCCGTGAATTAATCTTGGCACAAAGTGTACTTCAAGGCATGCACTCCTCAATGCTTTTTGCAATTTTTTGTTTTTTGGCTTTTATTCCATTTTCGTTGTCAATGTCCATGTTTCTGAGTGATAAAAAATTAAAACGTGAAATGGAGACAATACGAAAGTTAAAGATCTCTTATTGTCTGTTAAGAAAAGTAAGCGGGCCTGGGCAGAACACATCCTTAAAAGAGAGATGGTGGCTGGGGGTTGAGATATAATAGGAGTGGCAGCCAGAGTGGAGGAAAACAAACTTTGACAATGTCATCATGACATGTTAATGAGTAACAAATGTGTACTCTGAACAACTGACCACTCCGGGGTAGCTATCTCTGTGTCAACATCTGTGCTCTCACAAAAATTTAAGCAAAGTTGAAAGATATTCTGGAATTTACAATAATGTTTCAATAATGCATTTGGAGTGTTGATGCAGTGGCTTTGAACCCAGTGACCTGAGTATCCCAGCCTCAACTAATATCAGTGGCGAGTGATATTTGAATTGGTCCAAAGTGCACCCCCTTCACAATCTCACTAAACAACGTGGTATAGTGTGGTCAACAACTCATGTTACTGAAGGTCCTGGGTAGGCCTTAATCTGGCAGTGAGGGTACGTACATTTTTTTAAAATTGTCTTTTTGCAATTACCCATAAACATTGCAGCCTTAAACAAAACTGTATTGCTCGAAATGTGTTTGTCTTAAGATGAAGCTAATTACACTGATGTGTGTGTCTGAATGTGTCTTTTATTATGCATTGCATACGTGAAGGATTTCCTGCCAATCTACTGAGACGCAACTCGCCCTACATGTCCTCCTACCTGCAGCCCTGCTCTGTGCCCACCGTTAGCTACACCCTGCAGTTGCTGCATGGTAAGCACTGAAAACGCATCTCTTCTCTTCTCCCATAATGTAAAACTCCACATTCCTGTGTTCCTGCGGATTACACAGTGGGTGGAGTGGTGGGGCAGTGGTTAGTGCACTGTGCTGTAAGCACAGCGACACAAGTTAATCTTCTTACTACGGTTAACATCACTGCCGAGTGTTATTTGAACATGACCTTAAGCTGCATTAACCAGTGTGTCGATGTACGATAAAACTTCCCCCACAAACGACATGGTGGAGGGATGCCTTCATCCAGCAGTAGATTTAATAAGGGACTAAAACACTTAACAGGTGCATAGCGTATTGTGAAGGCTGAATATCACCGTTATGCTGCAGGGATGGATCAGCGGCGTGGGTTCAAGACCCTGCGCTTGCACGGGGTCCGTCGCAACACACTCCAGGACCGCGAAGAGAGAGGAGAGAACAGTGGACAAAATTTCGTCAAGGTATTTCTGATTTTCTATCACAGGCTTGAAAGCCCCTTCATGACCTGAAAAGTAATTTGTGGTTGCTTTTAAAGCAGTGTGTATGTGTGAGAGGCTGTCGGTATTTACGAAATATGTCAACATATAACTCTGGATTTTTAGGGACTGCTAAGGGACAAGGTCGGAGAGGGAGAAGACCTGGATAAGATACTTAAACGGAAGCATATCCCTGAGGGTCACAAGGACGCCTTCAAGACTGGCTTTGCCGAGGGCTTCATGGCAGTGCAGACGTTCACACAGCGGGCCCAAGGCAAGTGTTTCCTGCGCTACACTTTTTCTCCCGGTCGGTTTGCCACCTGTCCTGTTTTTTTCACAATTATCCTCTATTTGAGGTAGCAGTTCTGGAAAATCTGTTAGTCTTCTTGGAACATAATTTTTGTGTAAATTACGTGTAGTTATCCCTTCTACTTCCCATCATGTGTCTCGGTTTTTTGCACCTCAGGTGGCAACAAAAGCGAAAGCTCATTGTGTGTGTGTGTATATGCTTATAATACTTGTACAAGCTATTTATGGCACTAATCATTTCTTGCCAACGGTCATGTGAGTTTGCGTTGTAATGTTGTGTTTGGCTACCGTACAGAATACCAGCGGAAAAGCCGGTTGTATCTGCTGGCGTTGATACTGATCGGCGTCTACCTCCTATACAAAAACCCATTCCTCTCTGGTAAATATGCATGTTTTTTATGTTACAACATTGCATTTTTTTCAGTTTTTAAAATAATCTAGACATCCTGAAATCAGATTCATCATCACGTATTGAAACATATTAAATGAAATGTAATTAGCTAGGTTATTTTGTTTCTTAACGTGTGTGCATGGAGTGTGTATGTATCTTTAAAGGTGTGTTTTATCGTGATTTTGCCTGATTCTGCGTTATTAGATTTGCTTTTGTCGGTGATCATGCTGCGTCTATAAATACCATCTTGTTGTTTTGTCCTTCAACAGCGGCAGTGCGATTCCGCACGTCGACAGGATTTGATGCTTCGGTGGACCCCATCACGATGAAGAACGTGACATTTGAGCACGTCAAAGGGGTATTTCTGATCTTCCTCTTTAAAAAGCTTGCACCGCTGGTGGCAGCCTTTGTCAATTTGCTCGTCTGTGTTGCCCTAGCAATTCTAATGTTGCGCTGTTGCCCGTTCAGGCTGACGAAGCGAAGGAAGAGCTGCAGGACGTGGTGCAGTTTCTGAAGAACCCACAGAAGTTCACTGTGCTTGGTGGCAAGCTGCCAAAAGGTAAGCGCCTTGTCACATTAATCATTCTAATTCTGCCGAATGTTAGACATTCTGCATGGCAACACAATATTGTAGCCAGGTCACCTATGTAATTATGGGGCACATATTTGTAAGAAATGTGTGTACTAAAAGACAAAAGCTAAAGGACACACAACTCTTGTAGATATGCACTTAGGTAAGAAATTCTAGGCTATCCAGCATGAGTTGAAGCTTCGTACATGACAAAATAATAGACTTGAAAGTTTAACACGTAGGCTTTCGCGACCAACATTATTCATAATCAACGTTTTTGGGTTTAGATCGCGTTATTCATAAATATGTCGTAACACTCCACCACCCGACACGGCCAATCAGTAAAAAAAGTGTCACGTTGACAAAAGACAAATAGTTCACTGCTTTAGCCCACCGGTGTGTTGAAGCGTGAAACCACAACATTTACAAAAGCAGTGAACTATTTGTCTTTTGAACTATTTGTCTTTTGTCAGCGTGACACTTTTTTACTGATTGGCCGTGTCGGGTGGTGGAGGGTTACGACACATTTATAAATAACGTGATCTAAACCCAAAAACGTTGATTATGAAGACTTTAAAGTTATCGAACATCATGATGGTACAGTGTAGTGGCGGTCACGGTAACGTCAACTTAGTAATATGGAATGTCAACGCAGTGACATCACTTCAGTGCTGTCACGTGTGTGTCGGCGAGTGTAGGAAATTGTATATGAATTTACTTACAAGATAAGATCTGTGAATGTGTGTCTGTTCGAAATGTTTAACATACTTCCCAACATGCAATAAACTTGAAATTTGGCATGTGGGTAGCTTCAAGACTGTACACAATGCAAAAAGTATAAAAATAGACTTTTGTATTTGGGGGGGGGGGGGGGGGGCGCAATAATGGATATATTTTGCACGGCAAGTGAGCGGTGACGTCACATCTGTGATGTCACCCGCATGCGGCAGCGTTACGCAGTGTGCCTGCTGACGTCACGCATCCTCCCCCTCTGCCCTCCGCGTAGGCCGTGTATTAATCCAAGACAAGAATCCAAGTTTCGGGCTAAGCCGGATAGTAAAGCTAGTCTTGTATAAGCATTGCATAAAATGTCTGGAGTGAACATTTAAATTAGTGTGGTCTTCTGGATTCTCAGAATACCACAGAGTGCATACCAAGCTCACTGCACATATACCCGGGAAACTTTTCTTAGTCTGTGATAACGAGCAAATGTAAAAAAATCGTGGAAAGATGAAAGAGCACTGCCACAAACAGGCCTTTGTTGTGGCTGCTCTGTGCCTTGTCGGCAAGTTTGATGTTATGTTGCTCTCTTGTTATTGCTGTGTGTGTCCAGGCATCCTGTTGGTGGGCCCACCTGGCACAGGCAAGACCCTGATGGCACGTGCCGTGGCTGGGGAAGCTGATGTGCCCTTCTATTACGCCTCGGGCTCTGAGTTTGACGAGATGTTCGTGGGTGTGGGGGCCAGCCGCATTCGAAACCTATTTCGTAAGTGACCGTGACAAACAATTAATACTGGCCACTTTGACAACAAGGTGTACATTTGGATACACTACAACCTAAAACTGTGGGCTCTGCTTGAGGCATTAATCTGTTGCACTGTATGTAATGTTGTCCAATGCAAGTTTGTGGATGTCAAAGTATAAATTACAATTTCTTCGTCATTTATTTGGCCTGTGCCAAGGTGACGGTTAATGATCTCATTGGTTTGTGCAGTGAGGAGTTTAATTGTAAATGGCTGTTTGTGGTGCAGGTGAAGCAAAGACAAACGCTCCGTGTGTCATCTTCATTGATGAACTGGACTCTGTTGGTGGCAAGAGAATTGAGTCTCCCATGCATCCGTACTCGCGACAGACCATCAACCAGCTTTTGGCAGAGATGGATGGGTGAGTCCTACTGTTTACAAGCACCAAAACACTGCAGCTATTACCAGACTACAGCTGATTTAATCTTACGTCTGTCTAATGAAGTATTCCGTTTAATAAGTAATGCTTGCACAGTGCCTGTTCAATTACATTTGGACACTATATGCTGTGCACGTTTTAATTGATACTTTTTTTTAGGTTCAAGCCCAATGAAGGAGTGATTGTGATTGGAGCAACCAATTTCCCTGAAGCTTTGGATAAGTATGCTAACTTTGAGGTTTTTAAAGTATAAGAGTGGCAATAGCTTTTTAAGCTGCCCAGTGTATATTTTTATAATTACTGATATATTATGATACATTCATAATAACTATTAAAAAATCTGATTCAAGTGAATGACAGTGTGTTGATACATTGTTGCGAAATGCCTTCATCGTCAGTGCTTGTGGTCATGACTGCAATGTGCAACTTGTAGACTAGACGTGTGCGTGTGTGTGCAGTGCCTTAGTGCGGCCGGGCCGCTTTGACATGCAGGTGACGGTGCCGCGTCCCGACGTCAAGGGACGCACAGAGATCCTCAAGCTCTACCTCAGCAAGGTCAAGATGGAAAGTGGTAATTCTCGCACCTCTGCCTTTCACCAGCACACAATCTCCACCTCGCACGACACAAACCATTTGCCACAGCTTCACGAATCGCTTGGTAATGGTGGTAAAGTCGTTGTGTGCGCAACCCTCGCAGGTGTGGACCCGATGACAATCGCGCGTGGCACGGTGGGCTTTACGGGCGCCGAGCTGGAGAATTTGGTGAATCAGGCGGCGCTCAAAGCGGCCATGGATGGCAAGGACGTCGTGAGCATGGTGGAGCTGGAGTATGCCAAGGACAAGATCCTCATGGGTGGGTGTGGATGGAGGACATCATATATTATTTATATAGCGTCTCACACGCTATATATAGCATTGACGATGAGTAACAGAAAAATCCCAAAACATGAGCACAACAAGCATGAATTACATGGAATACATAACCTAAAGACATTTTATTCAAGGCAGTGGTGCACCATAGGTTTAGCGATAAAAGTTTAACTTGTAGGCTTTCAAATTGTATTTTTATTTACACCATTAATTGGGTAATTAATTCCATAGTTTAGCAAACGTCTTAAAATCTCTAATTGTGATTCTTTAATGAGGACTTGGAAGCAGCAAGGTAAGCCGTCTTTGTTGATCAAAGTATTTGTCCTGCCTTGTGTATCAGCAACCTGCAGAGTACAGTCATGATGCAGCAAATGGTTACAGCTGGTACTGTATTGAGATGTGTGTGACACAGTGCAGCCCGGCAAAGTTAAAATACAAGTCTCGTACTGCTTCTGGCTGCTCCAGGTACGGAGCGTCGCAGCGCGGAGATTGACTTAAAGAACAAGACCATCACGGCATACCACGAAGGCGGTCATGCGCTCGTGGCCTTCTACACCAAAGATGCCATGCCCATCAACAAGGCCACCATCATGCCCCGCGGGCCCACACTGGGACACGTGAGTACCACCCAGCTGAAGTAGGGGAAATGGAAACATCAGTCCGCTAGTGGCTGTGGCATGTGCAGCTATTAAGTTTGTTTGATTTCTATATCTAGTCATACTGGGAAGTACCATTGAGATGGATGTGGCTTATTTGTGCTCTATATGAAAAAAATACTCATGTTATTGATGCTTTACGGTTATTTTTGCATCTTTATGTCCGTGACTTTTTTTTATTAGCTCAGTAACAGCACACCTTCATCGACATCCCTGCACAAGTTTTAAGGTGGCATTGTGGGAGCGTGATGGCAGAAGCCTGCAAACGTTTACCTTTGCTTGTCTACTCGGGTGCAGGTCTCCTTGCTGCCAGAGGATGACCGGTGGAGCGAGACCAAGGCCCAGCTGCTGGCCCAGATGGACGTGAGCATGGGTGGCCGTGTGGCGGAGGAGATCATCTTTGGGCTCGACAACATTACCACGGGTAAAACATGCATTGCCTGCCATTGCAGCACATGATTGACATGGATGTAGGTTATTAACAGTAATATTTTCAACCAGCTGTGAAGATTTCAGATTATGTATCGTGATTGTTTGTTATCACAATTGCTCATAGGTTATTGTTGTGGTTTAATATTTATGTGAGGTGTTGATACATTTGTGTGGTTGTGTAATGTCTGATTAATACATTACTTGTTGTTTTTCAGGTGCATCAAGTGATTTTGAAACTGCCACCAAAATAGCAAGTCTGATGGTGACCAGATTTGGCATGAGTGAAAAGGTAAGTGAAGGTTCCACTGTGATGCATAAAATTTATGAAAAGTGTGCTTACACAGCATAGCTAAGCTTATGACTGCCATGCACATTATTATTGTGAACTATACGTTTAACTTCAAGGACTAAGTTGCTGTTTTCTGTGCTGTACTTTGTTGTGTGATGCAGCTTGGAGTGATGATTTACAAAGATCAGGAGAAGCTCAGCCCAGAAACCCAGTCTGCTATCGAGACCGAAGTCCGGGCCATGCTCCGGGTAAAGACCCCAGCTAAAATTGAAGCCAATTTCCTTGCGTGTATTGCTGTATGAATGAATAGTTTGACATTTGGTGATATTAATATTTCCAAATTTAGACTATGCGGAATTTAATGGTGGTTTGCTTTCAATAATATATCAAGTCATTATCATAAGGCCACCTATTGACTACCTAGTGGATTTTGGAATTTCACAAATTATTAATGTATGGGAATACCTAATTGAACAAATTAAAGTAAGTTTTTCCATTAATTGTAGCAATTTTGCAAATCTTTTGCACACCTTTGGGAGTCTTCCATTCCGGGCATGTGAGTTGATGCTCCCACCCTTCCTGGCATTGATCAGTTGTGCGGCTGGTGTTCCTCCTACAATCTCACGGTTTGCGCATGACCACAGGACTCGTACGAGCGTGCACGGAGCATCCTGAAGGCGCACTCACGGGAGCACAAGCTGCTCGCCGAGGCGCTGCTCAAGTACGAGACGCTGGACGCACGGGAGATCCGCTCGGTGTTGGAGGGCAAATGCCTGGAGGAGAGACAAGTAGCTCTGGCAAAGGCCATCAGCCAGGCGCTGTAACGCCAGTGTGACATTGAACGTGCACTGTTTTCGTACACTTTGCCGTGAACTTGAATGGAGAAAAAAATCGGGTTCTGTTTGGGAAAGTGATGAGAATCTGTCCTGTTAATTTGTAACAAAGTCCCCGAAAGACCCAGCTACTGCAAAGTGAAAATAACTTGTCAACGCAGGCCCGTGTCATCCATGTTTCAAGTAGAGCTGATGAGAAAGTGTAATGAGCAAACAGCTCAATTTGTGACTTTTTGCTGATCAGAAGCCTGATTTTTTTGGCATCTGGAAATGTTAAACTTTTTTTTTATTTGTAAAGGAGCCAGTATGAACCCAAGTACAATGAGTGCAAGAGACCTTAGTCAAACCCGCCAGACCATGTAACCATGTAAGCATGTAGCATGTGATGGCAGTAGTCTGATTGTGCTCTGGGTAAAGGTCCTGTTATTTGTTTCAATCACAATATGCTGCTGAACATTTGGTTTTAAATATAGTTAAATGGGTCGGTGCATAATCCGATTCATCCAGATAGGCTTTGATGTTTCACTCCTAACTATAGCCCGTTGCTTCTACGAGTCTCGATTGCAGGTTACAATAACTTGCAGTTTCTTGACCAGAATGAACCATGTCTTTTAGGGAGGCAGGATAATTGTAGCCATTTCGGTCAGAGTCAGTAACAGCAATAAATGAGCAGCAAGTGGTATGATAACCAGTCGTCCATAGGGGAGTGCAGGGCCCTGATACATTCATACTATGTGTTGCCCCCCCCCCCCTAACCATTTACTTCAAACTAAACCGTAAGTATTACATCTGACATCTGGGCCCACCAAAAAACGGGGCCTGGGGTGGTCACCCAATTATGCTGTATCTTAGGGACATCTCTGATAACTTGCATTCAGCATTTAAACAATGCACATTCTTTAAAAAGGTAAGTTTAGTCCAGTTTAGGACGTAAAATTCAGATTATTTAAACATGTTTCAATTTGTATGTGTGTGCTGAAATTCAGTCGAGACAACCAAAGCCCACGTCTTTATTTATTGAAATTGTTTCCCCTAAATACAGTGTCCAATATACTGTACAACAAACATTGCTTGCAAAAGAACGGCGCTTCGGACCATTATCTGCTTCTTGTACTTATAAAACTGTAAATAGTAAAATAAAAGATTCAACAAAAATGTCATGAGCCGATCAACTTTCAGGAATCCTTGTGCGGTTAATAACATTTGCGCAGCTTAAATGGTATTGTGAGACTGGCGAAATGAAGTCACATGCCACTTTCACCACAACTGACATCACCTCAGGTCGTCTTCAATAGCCTTGAAAAGTCACTTAATGTGTAAACCACACTCGCATAATATGTAAACCACATAGGTGCCACATTTGCACAATATTGTGTAATCTTGCTCAAAAACGTCCCACTTCAGTAAATGAAAATTTGACGTTGGCAAATTAAACAAGGGATTACAAAAAGTAGTCACTTAAAAAATGTAACCATTGGTTTACACAATTTACAGGTTTTGTTCACTATGCAATTTCACGTACATCTGGCTACCCTATTTCTACTTTGCTATATGCCGTTTGAATTCACTCGTGCGGCTTTGTGGTTTGGCGTGGGACATTGTTATTTCCTGTATGTACTAGACAGTTATTTCCTTGATTTCACTTTGTGCACCCCTTTTTTTGGAATGCCTCTACCGAATAAAGCAAGGTAAATCTGTAATTCGAACATAAATATTCCAAGACTTACAAATGTCTGGAAACTACAACTAGAACCTGTGTGGTCATAGATACTAAGACACGTTGCTTTTGTCAATTACATTATAACAACCAAGATATGTTTAAACAGTACCCCGTTAGTCCAAGAAGTACACTGAGCCAAAGTCAAACTTGCCAGTATTACTTTAGCAGCACCTTTTAAACATTGCAATAGTAATACCAAATACTGTTCTTTCGTATTAGGCCATTAGGTTGGTAGAAGGCTGCAGGCATTTGGTAAAGGAAAAACATGCCAATGAAATAATTGCCAAATGCATTCAATATAAAGCTTGCTTTTAATGAACTGTACAGCAAAAAAAACTGTTCAGCTGTCATGTTCCAGGCACTTTTCCACCTGCTTGGGCAGGAAGTAATCGAGGAAGTGAAAGAGGTCTTGGAAGGAGTTCTTTTCATCCTTGATGGGAGTGACTGTGAGCAAAGCCTTAGTGTCCTGAGTGCCGCCAGCCAGCGCGGCCGACAGCGTAAAGCTCAGAAGGGGACCTTTATTTTCATCACCTGCACCGGTGCCCGAGCTTTGCTTTAGGATCGCCTCGGTAATCCTGGCCTCTTCTTGCACAATGGTTGGCAGGGTGGACTCCACGCATGGCTCCTTTAAACAAGCAGGCTCCTTGGCAGATTTCTGCATTTCAAGCTTAACCTGCCGCTTGACTTTCCGTCGTCCCACCCAAATGACGGCGGATATGCTGCAAGACCACCTGACGGACCCTGTGACACAACTCTCTATTTTGGCCTTCTTACTGCTGCTGCAATGGCCACCGTCATCATCTGGGTGTGTTCTCTTGGAGCAGGCAGACGAAGTTTGTTGGACATCAATTTCTTGAGGCATTTTCTCAAGGTGTCCCACTTTTGTTGCTTCAGATTCCTTCGGTTCGCTCGCCAAAACATCAGTTCTGCGAACATCAAACTTGAGCACCTCCATCAGGATACGTTGAGTTAACTGGCAAACTTTGTTGAACCAAACGCCCCTAAAATTGGCCGCCTCTTTCATTTTGTTCTTCAGCGTTTCTGACATGGACGGCACTTTGAATGCAATTTCTATCGTGGTCTTCGTGGCTGCTGCATTGGATGAGGTTGGGTCAGGAGACCCCATAGGCGAGATATCCTCCCCTCCGGTCAGCTGGAAGAGCTTAACCAGTCCCCATACCTTCCCCTTGGTGGATTTGTGCTGGTACTGTAGGCTGCGACAATACTTGCTCGCTACATCGCACTCCTTTTTAAATCGCCGTGCCATCCGTTCCGACACATTCCCAGCCACATTGTGGTTCAGCTCAAAAGGATCCTGCACATTAATCGGCCCCAGCCTTAATTTCGGCTTGGCATTCGCTTGCTCAGTTTTGGAAATTCCAAAAAATTCCGCCACGGGAAAAACTACACCTTCTCGTAATGATATTACTGAGCCAGAGAAGTCAAATGAAGCATAAAATTTGAAGAATTCTGGCAGCAGTGAATCTGTAAGGGAACCAACACTTTTATTACAGTAAGAAACTTGGCATTATGCAAAAACAAAAACCCACCACAAATTACAAACAAGATGACTTAATTTGAGTAGCTGAAACTTACTCAGGGTATCCGTGTTATCGGTATCACATTCGTCGGTCCATTCGCTCAGAAAGGAGCAATCCCAGCCATCCACCACATGGGTCTCCACCTCACCTGGTGGATTGACAATCGTTGAGCAATTCCAAACACAACCAGCACGGACGACTTAATTGGGACATGAATGTACACTCCCCAGTGCCACACTGACCTGCGAGCTCCTTGAGCCGACTGACGGTGGGCAGGATGGGCGGCTGGCGTGTCTGCAGGAAGTAAACCACCAGCAGGGTGAGGGCATAGTTGTTCAGGTGTGGGCCTCCTCCAGATGTGTTGCCTGAAACGTGTCCATGCAGCAACATTTGTAAATTAACAACCTTTGCCATGATATCGTGAAATTCTTATTTTTCAATTTGCAAGCAGTGTGAAACATCGCAGAAAGCACAAAGGTTTTACTTGTGAACACACAAGTGTACAATAACATTGACTCGCGTAGCATCTAAATGTGACCGCATTTCAAGAAGCAGTAAAGAAACTATATATTTGTGGATAGATGCCTTCACATTCAAAGGAAAAATACAGATCTTGTGCTTGAATTTGAAGAGGGGGAGGGAGTCAAGAACACGGATTGCTGAGGAAGGTAGACTGGGGTGAGCAGAGGAGACTTTGTATATTTACCGGCCAGCTGCTTCTGTTTGGCCCAATAGCGGACGGTGTAGACCAAAGGCTTCACACGACTGTCTGCCGCTGCATACAACTGCAACAGCTTCGTGTTTTGAACAGGTAGCCTGTAATAAGTCGAAGCATTTACAAGGTGGATTACAATTATTATGCAATGGTTCTATTTCCAAACTTAAAACAACATTGTTGAAACACTGATTGCCAGAAAGATCTACCTGTTGTTGATCGTGATGTCACACTGGAGACCTGACTCGCGGTGGATGAACTTGACGACTGGCAGGCGGGCTGTCGGGACGGCCTGCACCTTGTGCACGCCCGGCACGCACTTGCGCAGCACCAAGGCCACCATTTCCAGCACCTCGGCCGGCAAAGCGCCCTCCAGGTCCACCTCAGAATGCATGGATTCCTCAGAATGCACAGATTCATCCGAAGACTCATCTCCCCACGAAGTGTGCCCTTTATCTTCCTCCATGGGTTCGGTGGTTTTCTTTGCTTCCTCTTCCTTCTGCAACGAAATATTATCTTCAATTAGAGGTGCAAAGATACGTCGGCTCATCAATTAAAATAGATTTTTTTATCTAATATGCATTGAATGGCATGCATGAAAACCAATATTTTTTCCATCGTATCCATTGTATGTAATGTGTTCACGACTTCACGTAACTCAAGCAAGCTGTGAGCGGCTACTACATTCTCTAGGATGTAAAACAATATGATTCTTGCAACTCTGTAGCGTGATAATTCATGGAATCACAAAATAAATACTAATTACATATATATTTTAGAGGTTATCACAATTACTCTAACCATGCTAGTGATGTTTATTCACGAATTTTACTTAAATCATTACAGTGAATGTTGTTTATCCACTAATTTTACTATAATAGTCGTGACCAGTATGAAAAAACACATGATTTATTATGGTAACATACAAACCTCGGTTAATTTTTTTGATTTGGCTTGGAAGGTTTTTGCATTTTCCAAGTCGAGGAAAAGGTCCATGTCAGAGCCACGCAAGCCAAAGCCATTCACGGTGGAGCCAAACGGGTGAATAATGCACCCTGAGGAAACAAAAATACAGGCACAACAATGAAACAAGACAAGTTATTGTTACAATGTAACTCCCCCTCCCGCACAAAAAATCTCTCCGACGTGTTTTCGGGTTGTATCGCATTGTTCGTCACGAGCTCCGACATTTCACTCCACGCTCTGGGAGCTTCCTCACGAATTGAATGTTCAGTTCCAGCACGTGAACAGAGCGTTGGACATCATGCCAAACATTACAAAAACATAACGGAGAGCTGTATGGCACAACCGTGAAAACCTAAGAGGTAGTGTGATAAATGCGAGGTTAATTTCTAAACCTGGAAAAAACTCGGTGAAGACCTCCTGCAGGAGGTTGACGAGCAGGTTTCGAAGCCGCACTGCACTCTCCGACAGCTGAAATACTCGCACCAGCTGAAGCATCTGCTCCTCCACCTGCACACCAGTCACAATGCTTGAGTCAAATGCCAATCATTCCAACACCCAGCTTTGTGTATAAAAAATCCCGAGCCCTCACCGATGGGATGCACTCTAGAATTTTAATAATTTTAATATTTAAAATATGAAATTATACATTTTTGAAAAAAACACACGTAATTTTTTTTCATGGGCCCCTTTGAGTTTTAGGCCCTGGACAAATGTCCTGTTTGGTTTTTGATGACAGCGTTAGTCAAAATCTGGCCCTGGGTATGAAATGTCTTACGGTCTCCTGTTGGCAGAGCAAGGTGGAGAGCTGCTCCAGGCCCATGAGCTGGCCCTTGCCGCCAGCCCCCTTCTTGCGCACGACGACGTGGAATCCCTTCTTCTCGCGGGGCTTCACGCGAAGGCACTGCCCATTCATGACGTGGTCGTTCTGGGAAAGTATCACCTCCACCGCGTCCGCGCTTTCAAACTCCACGATGGCGTACACACCCTACAAACACACGTGCATATTAACAGACATAAAGATAAACAAGTGAACACAACTGCAAACGTACTTTAAGACCATAAATGGCTAATGGGCGGTGATACATGATGAATAATGGGCTTTATATATTTTTTTAAATACACTAAATCTATTTAGGTGTTTTAAATCACCTATGTAACAAGGTCACAGATTATTTAAATAAGTGTAATCTGCTTTATGTATGAGCTGTACTATTTCTGATGTACTTCATTGAGTATGTCTTTTGAAAAGCAACAGACTGAGTTTATTACTGTATGAGTTTGTAATGCCAAGATGGATTCCATTTGTATCTCCTGCAAAAACATGTGTTGAGCAACGATCAGTTGAGTGATGAATCATACTTCACCAGTCACGTTTAAGCATAGCTGCACCTCCTATACATGCTTCTAATGTGCCCAATGTCCAAATGAGTTAAGAAGATGAGTGTGGTCAGCTATCCGTTTTGTCAAATTAAGTAGCTGAACAAAGATGGTTAATTGAATGTGCCAGCGTGAGGGTCTGCACCAACCATAGCTCTCACAACGTTTGATTTCTAATTGGGGTAAATAAGCCGATTATTCCTCATACTTACTACGTTTCTACGAGCACTGGGAACTAGACTCTGCTGGCCAAGGAGCAATCCACGAATGGCACAAGGCCCTGAGCTATTGCTCTCCAGGCCCCATGAGACATGAGGCTTTGTGGGCTCCCCTCCGTTCCATTTCCCCGCCCTCGTGTTTTCTCTTACCCTCCATCGAACAAAGGTTAGTGTTTGAGAGAGTTTTATGTAGTTCATGGTTGAATTAAACTAACTTGAAAACATTTATATTTTTAACCGGACATTTTTAACACAAAAACGAGTGATGCCATGGCCTGCACACCTCACTTCTATTTTGACCCAGTAACATCTGGATTGTTTAGGGGTCAACCTAACTTTAAACATGCAGCATGGGTCAAGCAGTAAGTCCCAGGGGCCAATAACTGCAGGGCTGCAATGGGAACACGGCTCTCTGGTTCCAAAAGTGACCCTGTATGATTCACGATGGCCATGCAAACACGGACTAGAACTTCTGCCTCATTACTCTTTGGTTCTTTCGGTAAAGTGACGTATAAAGATAAAATAATAAATTAAATACTAGCATACGACGTTTCGATTGCAACACAAGCAATCATCATCAGGTATAAATGAAATAGAAACACAAATCTAGTAAACTTAGAAATGCAATGTAATACAACAGAGAGTCGGATAACATAAGTCAACACCCTACGTTATGTTATCCGACTCTCTGTTGTATTACATTACATTTCTAAGTATACTATATTTATGTTTCTATTTCATTTATACCTGATGATGATTGCTTGTGTTGCAATCGAAACGTCGTATGCTAGTATTTAATTTATTATTTTATCTTTATACGTGACTTTACCGAAGGAACCAAAGAGTCATTCCTGCAGTCACGAAAGCTCCAAATTAAGTTTTTGCCTCATTCCCTGACCGCTTGCTCCAACAACCGCAGCCAAACAAACCACCTTGTCTTTGTCCATGATGATGCTGGAGACGCTGCCGAACGCCATGCAGTAGTCTGTGATCTCCAGCTGCGAAGTTCCCTTTGCAAAGCCACTCACGAACACACTACGCTCCTCCTGCGCCTTCCGTAACGCCCGGAGACCCACGAGTCGTCGGTGCTTCTTTCCACCGAGGTGGGCGTCCAAGCTGGACTCTGCGAACAGCGTGCGGAGTGGACGCACCCGACAAGCACTTTCATCAAGAGGATACACTCACTATCCCTTACCCCATATGGCAAAGTACAACACGTCCTGCTAATGACCACCACCACCAGCAGAAACTGGCTGGTTCCACAAATTGTGATAACCTTGCAGCCAAAATTTAAAACTCCAACATACATATGGGGGTGTCATTTTCCAGGTTTTAGAAATATGGATAATTTACTAAACAAGTCAACAGTTTCACACGCAGCTAAAGCGGAATGCACCATTAGAATTCCAGCGTGGACGCAAAAGTCATATTGTGACGTTTCATTAACAATTATTCCTCATCAAGACAGGCGGATAAATTATTTCCACCTGATTTGCAGTCCTAATTGACTGACACGCTTTGCCCTAAAAAAAACCTGCTTCTTGATTATGTTATTCACAGGTTGAAAATGTCTCAATCATTTAAATCAACTTATGTTGCCTTTTCACATGTGTGTCTCTATGTTATCTCTCTCTGTTTATGTGTCTGTCTATGTGTCTCCGTGTCTGTGTTTTATCTCTCTCTCAAATTTAGCAATCTTTGGAAGAACGTAATCAACCAGGTAGGGTGTTGACTTATGTTAGCCGACTCTCTGTGTTGTATTGCATTATATTTCTAAGTTTACTATGTTTGTTTTCTCTTTCATTTGTACCTGATGATGAGTGCTTGTGTTGCAATCAAAACGTCGTATGCTATTATTTAATTTATTTTTTCTTTCTACGTGACTTTACCGAAAGAACCAAAGAGTTATGATCGACTTGACAGCAACGTGTGTACAATACTCGATGTATTTATAGAATAAATATGCGAGGTGACCACGTGAGGGCGGTATTGTCACCCCTAGCATTTGATCCCACAAGCCACTTATTAATGCCCATGGCCACATATCCAAATGCAGAGCCTACTCGCCAAAGGGTCTTCGGGTTCGATAATGTTTTATTGGATACCTGAATTATATATAATCAACTACACTCTTCAAAAAAATGAAATTCATTTATGAGTATCTGCAGAGAGGCCCACAATTGTAAGATTTCTTGCAAAATGGTCCAATGCGCAGTGGGAGCGAGGAACGATTTTGAAGGTCTAATTGATCTTGGAGCTTTGAACCCCATCTCGGAACCCCATGTCGAAACCCCAAAGGCCCCCCCCCCCCCCCCCATTGAAGGCTATGGATGAGAAAGGCAACACACACACACAAAGCTTCGCCTCCGTCCAAAGGTTATGGGGAAACTGCCGCCCCTCCCATCTTACAGCCTAATATACACACGGTTCTGTGCTGTATTCCTGCAAATATAAGTCTCTCGTCACAGGCGCATGCATAATACCTACACGCAAAGTATTTCGTATACACGTGCATGGATACTTATGTACTGTATATGTGGCATGCGTGTGTGTTGGTTAAGTGTATATCCGTGGTACATGTACAGTATGTCTATGCATACATAAGTGGTACACGTGTTAAGTGGTACACGTGTGTGTACGTGTCAAGTGGTACACGTGTCTGTATGTGCACGTGTTAAGTGGTACACGTGTCTGTATGTGCACGTGTTAAGTGGTACACGTGTCTGTATGTACACGTGTTAAGTGGTACACGTGTCTGTACGTGTTGAGTGGTACACGTGTCTGTACGTGCACGTGTCTGTATGTACACGTGTAAAGTGGTACACGTGTCTGTACGTGTTGAGTGGTACACGTGTCTGTATGTGCACGTGTCTGTATGTACGCGTGTTAAGTGGTACACGTGTCTGTACGTGTTGAGTGGTACACGTGTCTGTATGTGCACGTGTCTGTATGTACACGTGTTAAATGGTACACGTGTCTGTATGTGCACGTGTCTGTATATACACGTGTTAAGTGGTACACGTGTCTGTACGTGTTGAGTGGTACACGTGTCTGTATGTGCACGTGTCTGTATGTACACGTGTTGAGTGGTACACGTGTTAAGTGGTGCACGTGTTAAGTGGTACACGTGTCTGTACGTGTTGAGTGGTACACGTGTCTGTATGTGTAAGTGGTACACGTGGCTGTATGTACACGTGTCTGTATGTGTATGTGTACGTGTTAAGTGGTACACGTGTCTGTATGTGTAAGTGGTACACGTGGCTGTATGTACACGTGTCTGTATGTGTATGTGCACGTGTTAAGTGGTACACGTGTCTGTATGTGTAAGTGGTACACGTGGCTGTATGTACACGTGTCTGTATGTGTATGTGCACGTGTTAAGTGGTACACGTGTCTGTATGTGTAAGTGGTACACGTGGCTGTATGTACACGTGTCTGCATGTGTATGTGCACGTGTTAAGTGGTACACGTGTCTGTATGTGTAAGTGGTACACGTGGCTGTATGTACACGTGTCTGTATGTGTATGTGCACGTGTTAAGTGGTACACGTGTCTGTATGTGTAAGTGGTACACGTGGCTGTATGTACACGTGTCTGTATGTGTATGTGCACGTGTTAAGTGGTACACGTGTCTGTATGTGTAAGTGGTACACGTGGCTGTATGTGTACGTGTTAAGTGGTACACGTGCACGTGCGTGTGGAGGGTGTCTGTAGAATAGCACTCGGCCCGCATCCCGCGCGCTCTCACGGTTGGGAATCTTCACGTCGCACAGCACGCAGAAGAACCCGCCCGCCGGCAGCGTCTGCACGTCTGCATCCTCCATACTTCACTGCTATTTGTGCTTTAATCGATCGACGGACGCGGATTGTAGATCATCGATTAGCAATCGGTGACCGCACCGAACGCAGTCCACCACGCGGCATTTGAAACGAGGCGCGAATCTGCAGCCCGGCAGATTCGTCGCCTGGTGTCGAAGCCGCGCACTTTCGTCAATATATTTTTTATTTCTTTACACGCGCGGCGCGTGAACGCGAACACGCAGTATATGAACTGTTCACAAGTTATTCGTGCGCGGTGTATTTTTATTTTTGGAGGGGGAGGGGGGTTGTGGAGCGCGGTTGTCGATAGACGAATCGGCGGGGGGGGGGGGGAAGCTGACGAATCGGCGGCACCGAACAACGCGATCGGTCCGTGTTTCAGAAACTCGTCGTTGCTCTGACGGGGGAAGGGATGGTTATCGATTACAGATCAATTCAATTCGCGACGATCACATAAACTATCAGTTGCGTGCGGCGCTATCGGGAGTGTTTATCGATGTGACGTCCGTGTTTTGTGGTATTAAGGGGCCGTCCATAAATGACGTCACGCGATTTAGGACGATTTTGGACCCCCCCCCCCCTTCGTCACACGACGTCACAAAAAGTCAGACCCCCCCCCCCTCAAATATGACGTCACAAAGCTCTGCCCCCCCCCCAAAATAAAACATGCTTCAAATCGCTTTAAACTATTGTCATTGTAGTGCGTATTTAATGTGGCGCTGCACTCTGATGTTGTAGGAGTAAACATTTATTAAAAAAAGTATATTCAATGAAGTAGAACGTGTTGTCTGTATTTATTTAAAGTTGCGCATTTTGATGTGACGTCACATTTCTCAAACCCCCCCCCCCCCTCTCGTCACACATCGTCACAAATTTCTGACCACCCCCCCCCCCCAGGTGCGTGACGTCATTTATGGACGGCCCTAGCCGCGCCTCCCTTCTCGAACCCACCAGAGGGTTCCAGGGGCCTCCCCACGAGGTCTACCGTGACCCTTGCCCCAGTTCCTCCGCCCTGCCGACACACGCACCGTGTATACGCTCAACGGCGTGTGCGCTAAGTGTCCACCCGCAGTAGCAGCTGCTGTACAACAGTCAGCGCTGTGTCACTACACCAGTACTATTGTGAAACATTCATATTTTACAGGCCGTGGAATTAATGCGGCTTGAACACGATGTCGAAAATAGCGTGCTTGATGTGAGAAATCAGTTATGAGCCTATACTGTGAGTGCATTGCAAGCAGTACATGTGTGCCCTTCACAGGCCATCAGTTTGGTATCTGAGCCCTTTGCTAAATGTTGTGTTGTCTTGTGTTCAGCAGTTCGCTTGTGTGTGTGATGTTTCATAGCAATTGCTTGAACGGACTTTGAAGGTAAACTGATGTGATTTGTGAGTGAACATTGGTGTGTGTGCATATGTCATTTACACTGAGATAAAGAACACGAGTTCCAGAAAATATGCAAATTAGACATAGGGTATTGACCGTTTAAAAAAAGTCTAAGGGGAATGGCGGCCAAAGAAGGAAGCATACCCAAGAAGCAACGATTGCGATGAAATCGGCGAATGTGTAAAAGCTAGATGGATTATTACATTGTGTAAGCGATCTGCGAGCCACCCACACGCACACGCACCATGCAGACACGACATCTCCACTCTCACGACAACACGCACCAATCACACGCGCGGCCATGCACGGGACGGGGGTCAGGGGTCAAAGGGCAGTGACTTTACCCGGGCCAGGCGTGCCCGCCGTGGATGTGTATTGGGAGCGAGGGCGGAGATGGAGGGGTTAAAAGGGGCTGTGGGACGTGTGTTCAGGGTTGGTCTTGGAACGAGTGTTGTTGTGCGTTGGTGCAATAAAGAAGTGTTTTAACCATTCTCCGACTCCTCTTCAATTGTAAGACCTTGAGAATTGGTGACGGCTTTTGGGAGGCATTTATGAAGCAGTGGATAGATCATGGCTGATGATAGAATGTGAATATTGTGGGTGACAGAAGTAACAGCAAAATGTACTAAGTGGGTTTACTGCAAAACTTTATTTACCATTCTTTAAAAAAACACGCAATTTACCTTCAAAAATATTAAATGTAACTAACTGTCCTTATAAAATAGTAAATCTAAATCATGCAATTACTATGATACAATATGGTACAAATAGTAAGTCATTTCAACCAAAGGTTGTTGAGAATATACAGGTATGTACATGATTCCGACAGCAGCTGCAAGAATAAATTATAACATCGCTTTCAAAACAATAACTTGTGGATGTGTGAAAACCACCCAGAAAATAAGTAACCTAATATGGCAAGAACAAATGCATACTTTTAAGTTATAAAAATACTATAAGATGTATTTATGTAACGCCATTCAAAATAACAGCAGCATCAAAACATACACCACATGCTTACATTTTTTACATACAGTACAGTATTTGGAGAAAAAAAACTTCCATTATAAAATAGCACAATCACCTAAAGGGCATCTCACTAATGATTATGAAGTGGTAATATGCCAGCATATGCCACTTATTACAGTTTGTCATTCTCAAGCAGCATTTTAGTGTGCGGCTTGAGTAGAGTTCTGTGGATATTGGCTGGGTCATCTGCCGAGAGGTCAACAAATACACATTCTCGGAGCAGTCGTGAGGATTCGGGGGAGGTACTTCCCAACTGTCCGATTTGTTGCCTAGTCGAGTCCCTCGTCCTCTGACCTTGTACGGGAGATGTGCCCCGATCCGCGGGAGACGCCCGCTGCACAGACGTTGCCTTGCGCTCGCCGTTTGCCCTCTCCCTCGGCGGGTCCTTTTTTGATTTGCGCTTGCAGCAGAAAATCCACAAAACCACAAGCGTGTTGAGCAGCAGTCCCAGTACCAGCGTCAGAACGGCGTACGACCACCAGTGGGTGGAGGTGACCCTGGCCGCGCCCGCAGCTTGAGCGATGTTGAACGTGCCCTCGGCTCTGCAGGACAGCTGCCGTTCTTCGCACACGCCGACAGACGCCCCGGAATGGCTCCCGCACACGTTCACCCCGACGCAGTTTAGCAGCTGCTTCGAAACGGCAGGAGGATCTCGCAAGTGGCTCTGAGTGCTTCGTCTGAAGCTCATGACTACGTCAACGGGCCCATGTGGCTGATCGATGCTGTCTTTGATCTTGATCTGCAACACCTTCTTGTTGAGCCATTGGCCGATGTAGTCCTTCCCGATAACGGTGCTGAAATTGACCACTTTATCGAGCTCCTTTCGAGTAGACACGAGTGGCGTATCAGTATCCCTGTCAAACTCAATCGTTATGATGTCGCCTCTACTGAAAAAGTCATGAACTGGAATTGGAGCATCATTCACGTCAATTTTTGTTACCTTTGGAGTTGCATCACTAAAATGCGCAAAATAGAGTTCAATTGGATTGTTGGCGTGTAGTTCGTTATATTTTACAAACTCTGTTACATGAACGCTTGTGTCTTTTGAAACTATGTTGATTAAAAAGTCATTGCGTATAATGCGTTTAAATAAATTATAGGACTGTGAATATTCTACATTATATCCGTTGGATGAGTCAATGAACAACGTTAAGTCTGTTGACACTGGCATGGATGTCACGTTGCTTTGATAGTTCTCGAAATAATCTGATATCTCTTTAAATGTCTTCAAACCACCCGAGGCCTTTGTGCTCTTCAGCACAGAATTCGAATCCATGTGTATATTTGAGGACCCCACAGTCACATCTTCATGTCTATTCAAGCATTGCAGTTTTCTGACAACAAAGCCAGCTTGAAGGATTGCATCTTTGTCGACAATGTCACCCAGGTTTGCATTGCAGAACTCCAGTAACTGCGACTCGGAGAGGGGCGGTTGCAATGCGATTGTGATCATGGAGAACTTCCCTAAGTAACTCCGACCTCCAGACACGATCAGCGAGAGTGGCACGTGGTCATTTTGCACAACAACACCTGTGACTTTGGGTATGGTTAAACCCCAGGAGCCCTGTAAAGGTGGGGACCGGGAGACGGTGTGAGCAGAGGACATAGACGTTGTTGTCAGACAATATGGAGACCACCCAGATGCTGGCAAAGGATCATCATTCACAAATCCTCCGCATTGCCCCACGTCCCCTCTGACTGTAACCAAGCACTGGTCTATCCGATTGCTGTTGAACTCTGAAGTAGTTACATTGAGCACGACGATCACAAACTGCTTTGGTGACAGCCATGTGCCAACATAGTCTGACAAAGCAGGGTCCCAGCAGGTTGACAGATTAAACATTTTATCTATGTCTTGTTTGGAAACAAGTTTTCCTCTTTTTTGCAGAGGCGGTAAGTTGGTGTCCATGTCAAATTCTACAACCATCATGTCTCCGCTTGAGATCTTTGAATCGGAGTGCAGAGCGGCGTTTTCGCTAGATTTGGTTAGTGCGGGAATCGCTGTGAAACTCACAATACTGGGGCCTGGGTTGGTGACCTGAATGGAGACACTGCCCTTGGCACAGGCGCGCTTTTTTCCTGCCGACGTCCTATCGCAGACTCTGAAAGTGAACCAGTCGTATCCTGCACTACCTGCTGATGCTGTGTACTTCAAAAGAGGACGCTCCTCCTCATCTTCCAACTTTACAACTCCCAACTGCGGAGTCTCTGTGAGCATCAGGGAGGTAACGTCAAGGTCCGTCGTGCTGCTTAAGCCGTAATCACTCGGGTTCAGGCCGAGACCTAAAACAAATTGAGCCTGGGCATCATCGGGGTCGTACAGCACCATTCCTGGTGTGGAAAGGTGACCCTTAGACTGGTTGTAAAAGAGCCAGCTGAACAGCTGAAAGGTGGTGCTCTGATGTGTGAGCACAATTGCCGACAGGGGCCGAATTACTGGAGGGTTGTTGACGTTCAACACCAGTATTGTGAGTGTGCCCATCCCACACCCCGGTCTGGTGCCACTAGCCTGGAGGCCAGACATGCGATGAACTCTGACTTGGTTTGCCTCTCGTTCACACGGCGCTGGGAGCTCCGACTTAATGTACAAAGCCTGATCGGCGCAAGGATCACAGACCATAAACTGAATGAGCTCTGGGCCCACGTAGCCTTTGGCGGGGCTGAACACCAGTGACGCTCTCCCATTGCTCGAAACGTGACTTCCGGAAGGCAATGTGAGGTTTTCCTGTTGAATTATTCCGCCGCTGATAACCAGACTAAACGTGAGCTCATCTGCCGCGTGATCCCTGTCACTGAAATACATTTGCATGTCTATGACTTGCAGGCTGTTTTCTAATACTTCGTAAGTGGCACTTTCACACACTGGTGAGTAATTCACCTGCAGAACACTGATGACTAATATTCCGTATATGTATCCTCCATTGCCATCCCTGTCCACCGCATAGTGCATTTTCTCCACCCCATGCTGACCTGATACCCCTTGGATGGAGATTATTCCAGAGTAGATGTCGTACTTTACCCTTGTTATATTGAGTCCATCTGGAAGGATCTGAATGTGCTGAGGCTGCAGGTTTGGCATCTGTGTGGCGAGCTCGTGTACAATAGCAACCGACACTTCAGAGCCTTCCAATAGGGTAACGTTCATGACTGGCATGACTGACACCTTTTTGTTCAATATGAGGTCATTCAGAAGCAACATCTGGGTTGGGAGCCATTTTATATGGAGACCTATTTCTAGCGTGTCACTCCAGTCTTCCCCATCCCATGCCTGCAAACTGATGTACCTTTGGGCAAGGCTTGGCCGTGGTGATGTGTTGTTGTACTGTAGGTTCGTGAGAATTTGTGTGTACTCGGAGGCACTGGCTTTCCTGCCATTGGCCTCCACCCTGGCCACTATCTCTATGCTGTATGGGCACAATGAAAGAACATTGACAGAGAAGGCAGGAGGGATGGTCTTCTTCACACTCAGTGTTTCATGGCTGTGCTGGCCGTCTGATCGACAGTCCCACTCAGCTGGGCTTGTTGCCGGTGCGTATCTTACTTTTGCCCTGACAGACATCATATATTTGCTGTCCAAATCATAAAGTAAAAGATCATTGAAAAACACTGGAGAAGGGCCGTGAGCTACATAAAAGTTGACAGACTTGATTGGCTTGGAAGATTTAATCACGGGCCGATCGTTGACAGATTTCACTGTTGCGTATGCCGAAACAACGACCTTTCCGAACTCCGTGTTGTTGCTCTCGTTGAAGTAGGAGATGTTGACGCCGCTCTGGCCACTCATGCCTGCGCTGCGGCCCGTGTTATCCCACGCCAGGACACCCAGTGAGGGCCTGTCGGCGTGCGGCCTTCGATCCCCGTTCAGATCCAGCTCTGTGTTGAAGAGAGGCTTCGGCACAAAACGCACTGCGCAGGAAACGAGCAGGAGGGCGGCGTTGTCCACAGACGTGCCACCGATCTCCGTCCACCGCCGTGGCTCATCGCGATCATCGGCGTCGCAGGAGAACTGCCAGCGACCGTGAGAGTTGTCGACGGAAACGACTGCCACTCCGCGGTCATCCTTAGGGTCCGGGTCGGACCAGTGGCCCCAGATGGAATCGCGGATGCGCGTGCCTTCCCCTCCTGTGGATCCTTCTTCCGTGTGGCCCAGGGACAGCGCCGCGGTGTCCAGGCTCGGCGAGTGGTTCACTGGGGTCACTTGAACGAGCACCGTGCCCTCCCACTGGCTGTAGGCTCCAAATGGGGTGTACAGCTTCACGTTCACCTGCGTCACGCATGGGGTTTGTGGAGAGGATTGCAGCTTAATTGTTGAAATGCGCAAATGTTGCTATGTAATCGGTGATGCTCACCTCACTCGTATTAAAAAGTCATAGATATATTATGATAGCATAACTGTAGATTGTTTCAAAGAAAACTGGAATCCAGCCAACTGGATTCTAGTTTAGGATTACTATTAGAATACTTTTATTGTTACATTATTATATGCCCTGGGGGGGTAGACCAGTGGTGGATCGATTAGTGCAACTGCACGAAGAACCCAGGTGACTTGAATAAAATGTTTTGGCCATGGCAAACACCAGTGCCGAGTGGTCAAAACTGGTCCTGGTCACCCCCCCCCCCCCCACCCTACACAAACTTGCACTGACCAGCATGGTGACATTTGGTGAAAAAGCCCCCCCGTAGACAACACAGCATGTGGATGCCTTCATCCAGAAGTGGATTGACAAAGTGGTTGTAAATTCCGATTCATATTATTGTTATGGTATACGGTAGAGTATTATGAATGAAGCGAGTGAAATTAGAGACGTTCTTACCCCACGGGTGCCAGCCTTGCGGCCATCTGTGAAGTCCCAGGCCTTGAACCTGAGCGAGGCCCTGCCGGCGTAGTGCAGGCGCGGCAGGAAGCGCAGGCGGTAGAGTTCATTGGACCATTCCTCGCCCAGAAGCATCGCGTCCATGAGCGCCAGCGATGACTCCAGCGCTAGCCACGTCCCCCCACCATCCGCACTGTACTCCCATTGGCCGTTGGTGTTCTCCACATCTGTAGGACACAGTTTGTGTTCAGTAGGGTTGGAGTATGCTCGTCGAAGGATCGATCAGGGTGATGATAATGATCATAAGATCCTTATGTGCTAATTTTTGGGTGGAATACTTGGAGACTTTGTACAGATGGAATCCCAGTTTTGTAGGCTTGAGCTGCAGTGTGGTTAAGAGGTGGCAGTAGAGCTATTAATTTTTTCATTTGTACATCCTCGTATGCATGGATTTTTTTTCTGGGTGCCATGGTTTCCTTCCAGTTGCCAATTATGAATGCAGTTGGCCAAACATCTCAAAGCAGGACCCTCCTGAAAAGAGTCTTGAGAATTAGTGAAGCTTTTCTGTATAAATCAATGTTTATTATTGTTTGGTATACATACAAAAATATAACATAAACCATCATCAGGCCATGATCTGTTGCAGGTTGAAGGCTTCTTCTGCAATGCAACAATACATCTGGGTCCTGCACATGATCCGATTTCTTTACAGCACCTCCGCAGTGGATGTCATCTTGGGCGTGCTATATTATTTGACCACCACTCCATCATTAGTCATCATCTGTTCGAGTAAACATGTTCTGCCAAAACCCATTTACTTTAACAGTCAATATGATATATCTAACCAAGTTAAGCCCTCTAAAGCATGGTTCCTCTTTCTGTCTCACAGAGTATTTCAAAGCATGCAGCTCTCCATGTTTCTTAGCATACTTTTCCCATGTCTCACATATCTCATATGACACTCTTTGTTTGGTTTAAGTTGCTTGGACACTGTTTTGTTAATGCTTGTCTATGGGTGCAAGGTGCATTCCTTTTTGCAGATGAATCTGGTGGACACTTGGTCACCCATGGTTATTTCTGAATCTGAGGAGTGGGATTTATCGTGGCCCTGGGTTTTATCATCACAGCAAGCAGTCGGGGTGGCCTGAATCAATGTCACCATTGATTCGCTCTAGATTGGGTTACAATATTTGAGGTACAACTTAAATACCAGGAAATATCGTAGGAGGAACAATATCTTGCAATACCGGAATAGAGGATAAGTGCATGTAAATGCATTGTCTTGAGTGGAGTATGTTTATGCAATTGACATTAACTGGGACTTTTAATGCAGATTTTCCAGGTCAGCTACCTCAAAAAGTGTACATTCTGGGAAGTTTGAGTTCGAGACTACCTCTAGCGCTAGACACTGTGTCATGGTACAGCCACAATTAACGAGCCGTCTAGGCCACACACATGGCCAGGAGGTTCAGGACGTGTGCGGTCATTCACCTGTGACAGCGACGCCGAGAGCCTGCGCAGGCTCAGTGACATCGGGGTCTCGGCAAATGTCGAGTAACAGTGTGATGGGGTCCCCTGGGGGTGCCAGGGAGTCCTCCGCCACTGTGCTCAACCACAGCGGCTCGGGGGACACCCATGGGGCGTCGTTGACCGAGAGTACCACCATGGTGATGGTGAGCATCTCGCGGCTGTTGGATATACACGGGACAGAGCAATGGACACACAGATGGACAGGTCAGATTGGACTTGTGATTTTAGTGTGTACACCAAGGCAGCCAGCGCTCAAGGGTTTGTGATAAGGATGCTGTCCCCCCATCCCCCCTCCCCAATTCAAGGCGCCACGGTTGGCTTCACTTTGGCAATGTAGGGACTCTCCCACATACAGGATAGCAGACCTGTTCACATACCATGGCAGGGTTCGTGTGGGACAAGCCCTATCTGGTTCTGTATCTATGCAGTACTGGCTGCAGCTGTGTGTATGGGATTCTGCCTGCCTCCACTGCTTTTTGCTAGTGCTCAATTCACAACGGCTAACGCAAGCTGGAACGCATTTCGGTTTCTGCCAGCTGGTTGTTTTTGTTTTAAAGGTGAAATCAGATCGGCTGAAAATATTGCCTTGTTTTTTTATTTCTCACCACACACTGATTTTTCCTTTTTGCTACATGATATATAAACACATGTTGAGTATTTGAATATGTGTTGTAAAACTCTAGAATGGAAAACTACTAATTGTTTTCTTATTAAGCATTGTTTACAACAATAGTAAACAATTTAAATGATTTTATTTCATAATCAGCCAAAGTCTATCTTACTACTGGATGAAGGCTTCCGCAATTCGCCGACGCTCACAGTCTCGTGATATCACAATCTACCTCGCTTCTGCGGATGAGCTGATCCCATCGCTCCATCTCCACAGTGGTGGTCCTTTCAGCGTATACCTTTCCTTTGGCTAAGACTCCGTTATCAGTCTCGACCACCGGCGAGCATCCCTCCTAGAGATGTCTCCTACCCAAGTCCACTTTAAGTTTAGTTTGTTGTACTTTTCCCGCACCTCCGATTAGCGCGGTTGGCGATGTACCATGCAAAAGAGGTTCAACATACATACATGAGAGACAGCAATACAATGTCTCTCATGTGCATTTGTTATCTGATCCATGTGTTACTCATTCTGTCTCTCAGTGTAATTCTTAACATGTACCTCCAGATGCTTCTTTGTTTCATTTTCAGCATCTGTTCCATTTTATTTTCAGTGTTTACGTTTCCAATTTATATGTTATAGGAGATGATATGCACTGCCATATGAATGCCTCGTTTTTTATATGATCAAGGTCAGTTTTCTAAAAGTGTTCCCGAGCGGTGACGTCACGAGGGGGTGGTGAGGGGGGTGCGGACCGCACCGGGTCACACCATCAGAGGGGGTGACATCATCAGAGGGGGTGACACCAAAATTACTGTCTATAAAAATTTTTTTGTGCAGTGTTTCAGCAGCATTTTTTAATAAAAAATATCCCAGTAGTTAGTTATAACAACACAATTGTTCGTAAGCCCAGCTTACATGTAGTGTATAAATATACCTACAAGGCTAAAACTCTATGCTTATTTACTTTTGTAACCTAATGCGCTCCGGTCAGAGCTGTCATTGTTACCCAATTACAATGACGCTTCGAGTCACGTGGTTTCGTCTGCACGCGCAACAAGCACGCGCTCTTGTTTTCGTCGCTGCTGGTGTTTTTATAGTCGCTGATTTTGTCAAGTTTTCTGGTGTTTTAGCTACAATATTGTGGTAATTAGTATTTGTGAACCTATATCAAGAACTCTTTTGAGAATGAAGTAGTAGCTACATCATGGGACCTCCTTTGCCAGTACTAAAAAAAGGGGAAAACCTATTCTCAAATGAAGTAGTAATTAAAGGAAATATTGTAATTTAAAGGTGTAATTTTAATTTTGCTAGTTGTTTATGCCACTACTATTGCCATTACATACAGTGATATATGGGAATTACGAGTAACATTAGTACAAAAAATATTACTAAGGATTCTATATGGTCTGGTACGGGCGGAGGTCCATTGGGGGTGACACCATGAGTTACGCACTGGGTGACACCAACCCTAGTTATGCCACTGTTCCCGAGTGCTCTTGTTCACCCTCTTGAATGTAATACATTTGATCCCCGCCCGCCTTCAGTAAGTGCCCGATTTCGATGTGTTTTTCAATATTGCGTTCCTCCCACAGATATCTCCATTTGATAAAGCCCGCTTTGGGCCACCACAGAAGCAGAAAATGCCAGCCTCAGACCAGCTCTTCCCAACTGGTTTCAGCAGGGAACATTGCAGCAAGCTGTGTCTCAACCTGACGGTAACAAGGTGTTACTGCTGAGTCTGGTTGGTGAAAGCGAGTCTGTGGCCGGCACTTTCTGCTTTTGTGGAGCTTTGAAGCACATTTTATTATGTATACAACACTAGCAATCGTCATCAAGTGAAAAAGATATTCTCAGCAGCTCTCCCGCTATAATTTTCTCCTGATAACAATTGCTTGTGTTACAATCGAAACGTGTTATTGTTATTATTTGTATTATATGGTCTATCTACGTGCTGTTACCGAAAGACCCAAAGAATATGAATATACAACTACTGTCTCAATCATTTTTTAAAATATATAACATTTTCGTGAATGAACTCGTTTTAGATGATGTTTGTTTTACTTATATTTGGCCAAACTTTGCATACTTGCTTATTATCTTATTACATCGTTTCCTCAAACTCATTTCCATTCGCTATTGTCATGACTATGATTTACAGCACACATATGAATATAAAATATCAATAATGTATTTTACACTATTTACACAACTCTGCTGTGGCTCAAAGCAATCAGATATAATCGAAATGCTACAGTAAACATTGCACGTGTGAGTGGTAAGAGTGCTAGTTTCTGGTTGGCACCTGAATGGGCAAGAGTCATCCACAAATGTGGCGTTCACCATCCCTCCATCTGGGACTGAGGCAGTGTGTCCTGCAATAAACAAGCCGTCAATGTACAGTTGTATTACATATGTTCAACGTCTTCTTTCGCACCGTACGTAGCCAACTGTGCCAATCGGAGGTACGGGAGAAGGACAACAAACTAAACACAAAAAGCAGTTCTAAATTAATTAGATATCAATTTAAATACCGCATTTGGGTGAAGCGGTCGTTACCACACTGCATTGCAAACCCAGTGACCCAGGTTAATTTCCTGGCAACTGCTAACATCAGTAGCGAGTGATGTCTACATTAATTTCTGAGCCTCCTCTCACTTCACAAACATGCAGTTACCAGCGTGGTAAACTATGGCCAAGTAACTCCATGACCGACACAGCGTGAGGAAGGTCTCACCCAGAAGTGCATTGATGAAGCACTTCATAATTGTTTATTACTGGAATATAGTAATCTCAGTTTATTAACTGTGCATAGTATTGTTCAGAAGCAGTGGACCTCAGGACCATTTTAAAGGTATCATTAATGTGTCCCAAGGGGAAATTAATAAGTAAACAACTATCGTTTTAGCTTGGATGGGTGTCATTGAAACAAGTTGCACCAATAGAACAAGAGACATTTCATTGCTCTATATTTTTGTGCTAAGTACATTGCGAAATAAGTGTATTGGTATAAGGAATCACTCTATTGCAAATAAAGCCTTAAATAAAGTTTAGCATGAAATTCAAATCTCCCATTTCATAAAAAAAATTCTGCCTGTCCATTGTAAGCCAATCACAAATGATTTAGAACAACATAGCAATCTAACCGACCTGTGGGCTATGCACACTGGAGAATCTAAAACGTGTCATTCTGTTTTGTGAATTGGGTCCGGTAAGCGAGCATGCGTACCGGTGCTGTCCCACGCGACGACGCTGACTGTGGAATTGCCATTGAAGTGTGGCGCGGGCAGGAAACGCAGGAAGTTACCCCAGGTGGCTCTTAGCGCCACAGAGCGCCGGAGCAGCGTGGAACTCCGGTGGAGTCGCCTATCCGGACCGGAGCTCCCCTCCGACATGGCTGTGGGGACCCGTGGTCAGGTCAGTGGATGCACAGTATTCATACAATACAATTACAAAGGTACTACACATGGAGGGTTGGCGGATCGCACAAATGTAAATTTCCCGTCCCGTGGCCGTCTAAGTGCCATACCCTGGCTCACCAGGAGAAGACAGTACAGCAAGTGGACAAATCGCCGTCTGTTTCCATTTGTACGGGAATAGAGTGTTGCCTCTTCGCACGCGTGGGCTTTTTCAGGGCGCTCTGGTTTCCTCACACTTGTACCACTTGTATAATCTCATTATTTGGCTAAAAACATGTTAAAATAGAAACCCAATGCAAAACCTTCCTTAAAATGCTTCCTATGACTCACTGTGGGCTTTCCTGGATAAATAAATTAGTGTTACATAAACACACAAAATAAGAATTTTCCTGTAATAATAACCTCGAAGCTGAGCTGCTTTGCGTACCTTTCCAGGAGCCGGGCCACGTGAGATACTCCCATTGTCCGTGGCTGTTGTCGGCCCCTACAATGGCGATGCCCAGCTGGTCCCCGGTGTCCGTGTCGTTAATTAAGCTACCTGTAAACACATTAAGAAGGCTTGTTCATGAAAGCCATGCAATTGATGCCACACATCCGACTGTCACGTGTCCACCCTGACCAATTAACCGCCCACACCCGGTGCGTTATTTGTGCGTAATGGTGTAACTTGTACATTTTATATCGATTCTCACAAAACCAGCCTTTTCACATACAGTATGGTGTTCGTAATCTCCCGTACCATCGTTTACTAACTTCTATAGGACAGTGAAAAGTTTACCCATATTTACAGCATTTTGCGTTTTATTTTATCCAATAATATTTTTTTGCATTATGGTGTAACTGTAAAATTGTATAGATATTTACATATCTGATCTTTTCACATATCAGCCTATACCTCAGAGTTGGATATGCGATGTTGGGCTGTATACAGTACATATATGCACACTTCCGATCGTAAAAAGAGCATTTTTTGGCAGATTAACATTGGTATCAAATATCCTTTATTTCAGTTTTTTTATCAGAATTATAAAAATAATAATTATGGAGAGCATCTATCATGGGCCCTACCCTCACCTACCCTCAGGCATGAAGGTGACATGAGGCAGAGAAAATGATTACATCACAATTTGTCTTACATTTAACATTGTTTACTTGGGAGTTATTAAACAAGAAAGCAGTGCGTTCTGTTAGCGCCTTCCCATGCTGAAAATGAAGGGTATACATAATCTGGTGTAACTATCTCCCTTTTTACATAAGATAATTGAAATAGTTTTGAACAAAACATTTACATTGAATAAAATACTTCCTTAACTACCTTAAACTTACATTTCAGACTTTAAGATGTAAGTATTCATAGTATAATAATCATGAAGTGGCTTTTTACTTGTGCGTATTGTTTACCAATTAGGACTGTGATTCAAATAAAAAATTCATTGTCCACCTTTCTTCATAAGGGAGAAATGCTCTTTCATACAAAGCCATGATGTCGGACGTACTCAGACACTAACTTTTCCATCCACACTAGATTGGTGACTGCATTCGCTCTAATATGGCATACCAGTGATTTAATCCACAAACAAAGTCATCCTTTCTCAAACTATAGATTCAAACACCGTAAAACTAAATGACACCTCACATGTATTATTTAAATGATTTCGAAACGTTGACTGTGAGGCTGCCTAATTTCCCAAACTACCCACTCACATGTAGGCTAAACTAACATTGTGCTTTTTTCTTCTTGGTTCTTTCGGTAAAGTCACGTAGAAGGGAAGTAATAAAATAATAAAAATAAAACATAATATTATTATATTATTATATTAATTATTTTATTTTATTATGTTTTATTTTTATTATTTTATTACTTCCCTTCTACGTGACTTTACCGAAATAACCAAGAAGATGAATTCCTGCAGTCATGAAAGCTTTAAATCGAAATTTAACATTGTGTTTACCAAAGAGTCCAAGAACGGTGTGTGGGACTTGGCTCCACTTGTTGGCGTTCTCCACTGTGTAGAGCGTGTGCAGCGGTCCGTGGTTGAAGAACGGCGAGCGGTTCGTGAGCCGGATGAGAATCGTGGTGTTGAGGGCAGCGCTAACGCGACCGCCTGCATCCGGAGGGTACGTGCTCAGGTGAGTTTCGCGTGTTGTGGCAACATTGTACTTTGACCGGTAAACACTCCGAGGGACCTAATGAGGGTGATCATTCACGGATTGATTTGATCCAATTTTCCGTTTATCCAGCATGTGCTGTTTTTTTTTTCATGGGTCACGAATTACGCTGGGGCTGCACGCTCCTTTTAATGTTTTTATCCCAATTGTATTTCTGTTTTACAGTTGGCATCACGTCATGTCATAAAGACATTTCTGTTTGGAACTCGCCTAGCAAAGAGTGCACCAGCCTGTATGGAAGAACGGTTTCAAAAGATGATGAAGTTACACACCTATCTGTGCAGTCTCTTCAATAGGGCTCTTTACCCCCATGAGCAGCACACCATTTAGATACCATGCTAAGGCTGTTCATAGAATATCAATCAAACTCACATTTTTATTTTTCAGAGATTAAATATGCCCAAGTAAGTGAAAAGTGAAATTCGGTACGATGTTATATCTCTCTTGGTCATTAGCGACCAGGCTAAGGCCATCATTCGCTACACTTGGGAATACCAATTTAATCGCAAGTGGGCGAAACCTGGATTCGAACTCTGGATCTCAGCAGTGGAGCACCGGTCCGCTGACACGGCAGGGGCCCCCTACGCCACCCAGCCGTTTGTACCCGCGTCGTCTCCTGACCTGTCCGCACGGCGATGACGTGGACGTGGCGTGGCCGAGGGTCCGGGTTGTGCTTGAGGTTAGCGTATGTCAGCGCAGCCAGGGCCCTCTGGTAAGCGTGGGCTCCGTTCAGCTCCAGCAGGGTCAGCGTGCCCTCGGACGACTGCACCCAGGGGACGCCGGGCCCGCCGTCCTGGCCCGTGGAGAGGACTTCTGCCTGCCCGTCCACTGCATTCAATATGGAGGCCTGACCGAGAAAGAGAGATGGTTTGGGCCTGGTTTTTACGTCTCTGCGTCTCTTTGTGTTGAAGTCTCACTGGAAATTTCGCTGCTCAAGAAATGTGCATGCGTGGAGGTGACGTTATGCAGTGCTTAATTTCAGCTGGAGAAGTCCAGCATATTAATCCGCAGATTATTTTGACACATGCCACATCCATATTGCCAATATCATATTATTATGGATAGGCAAACGTTGTACTTTAGTGGGAGTGCCTTATGTTGATAATCACTACTTCTTTGGTTGCAACATTCCGGAAAATGTTGAGTGAGAAATTAAGCCCTGACCATGTGGCTAATAGAGACCTTCATTCACTAATACTAACGATTTATTTGTTACTTGGGCATGGTTACTCAGGCTGATGATGTTTGCTAAATTTAATTAGCAATATATTTGGTGGTCGGAATAGCTTAATTAAGACTGGAGGGAGGAGGTTGGGAGTCTTTGTTTCAATTTGATATCCGAATACTCTTAATGCATAGGATGTGCCTATATGTAAGCCTATAACTTTCGCCATTGGGTGTTTGCAGAAAGCTACGAATAGAATAAATATCTCTCTCATGTTAAAGAGAGGCCACAGTATTGTCATTAATGTAATATATATGTATTAAATTCAACTACAAGCCTGGCACTCTGTTGGAAAGCAGCCCAGTAGTAACTTGATTCAGCAGTATCCAATGGCACCATATTACGCAGTCTGAAATAATTCCCAACAAGGCTGAGTTAATAGTAAACCCAAGAGCCCAAATTAAAGCCAAGTTGCCAGACGGCTCGGGTAAACAAATGCCGCACAATATTGTCTCATCTTACTCAGTCTCATAGCAGGCGCCCTTCATCTGTTATGAACTCGTTTAATTGTCGCTCTCGGGGGAGTCATGATACAGAAGCCTCACAGCTTTCCCCCTTAGAAGCATTCATTGCTGTTGCTACTGATGAATCAGATTCCGTTTGTTTTTAACGTTACATTTTCATACTTTCATTTCCCATTTTCCAGCCATTGTTTTGCTCCCCTCACATTATGTTGAATGTAGATTTTTCCGATGGTTTTGCTTGTTATTTTCGTAATCTCAAATGTACTTTTTTCCGAGTTGACAAGGCACATAATGGTATTTTAAAAATGCCATGACCTCGTAAAGCCAAAAATGTACTGTCCTCCATTGTGCAGTTCCTGACCATGTGATCCGTCAAGCCATGACCCGTCATTGTGTGTCCCGTCACTGCGCGACCCTGCAGTTGCTTGACTCATTATTTTATTGCCGATTGGAAACGTGGCCAGTTTTATTTCCGCTTGTGTATTGCCCCCCCCCCCCCCCATGTAGCCGTTTGCGTGTCACAAGCAACGTGTTGCGTGTCACAAGCAACGTGTTGCGTGGCACAAGCAACGTGTTGCGTGTCACAAGCAACGTGTTGCGTGGCACAAGCAACGTGTTGCGTGTCACGAGCAATATGTTGCGTGTCACGAGCAACGTGTTGCGTGGCACGAGCAACGTGTTGCGTGTCACAAGCAACGTGTTGCGTGTCACAAGCAACGTGTTGCGTGTCACAAGCAACGTGTTGCGTGTCACAAGCAACGTGTTGCGTGGCGCAAGCAACGTGTTGCGTGGAACAAGCAACGTGTTGCGTGGCGCAAGCAACGTGTTGCGTGGCACAAGCAACGTGTTGCGTGGCACAAGCAACGTGTTGCGTGGCACAAGCAACGTGTTGCGTGTCACAAGCAACGTGTTGCGTGGCACAAGCAACGTGTTGCGTGTCACAAGCAACGTGTTGCGTGTCGCAAGCAACGTGTTGCGTGGCACAAGCAACGTGTTGCGTGGCGCAAGCAACGTGTTGCGTGGCACAAGCAACGTGTTGCGTGGCACAAGCAACGTGTTGAGTGTCACAAGCAACGTGTTGCGTGGCGCAAGCAACGTGTTGCGTGGAACAAGCAACGTGTTGTGTGGCACAAGCAACGTGTTGCGTGGCACAAGCAACGTGTTGCGTGGCACAAGCAACGTGTTGCGTGGCGCAAGCAACGTGTTGCGTGGAACAAGCAACGTGTTGCGTGTCGCAAGCAACGTGTTGTGTGGTGCAAGCAACGTGTTGCGTGGCACAAGCAACGTGTTGCGTGGCGCAAGCAACGTGTTGCGTGGCACAAGCAACGTGTTGCGTGGCACAAGCAACGTGTTGCGTGTCACAAGCAATGTGTTGTGCAGCTCGCACTCGCCTGTATGTATGCCATTGTCCCTCGCTGGTCAAGAACTGTGACTTCTCCTTTGAACACGCGCACCGGCGACAAGCCCTCCACGAACGTGGCACTCGTTGCACCTCTGTGACTCAACACTGGCAAAAAGAACCGTGGCATTGTAAGTGTTCATACTCTTAGTAGACGTACCCGTTATATTTCACGGGACACTCAAGACCTGACCTCAACATGATACTGGAAAAAGATCGATTCGAGCTTTTGAATGCAAAGCTTTCATTTTGTTGAAGTACATTTCAGGAAACAATCGGTGAATGTTTAAAAAAAAATGCAAGACAACAAAATTTAAATAAACGGTGTTGACCTCTTAAGTGTAACATCTGAGACACCCAATTAAAATGTATTTACATATAATACGTAGGTTTTCGCGACCACTATTATTCATGATTACGTTTTTTTTGGTAAGATCATGTAAATGTGTCGTAAACCCATCTCCACCCGACACAGCCAATTATCAAGCCCACCGATGTGTTGTAAATGCTCACAAACACATCGGTGTGCTGCAGTAGTCACGAATTGGCACGTTTTTGTCACGTGGCAAAACCTTAGTAATTGGCAGTATCGGGTGGAGGTGGATTACGACACATTTATGCGATCTAACCCAAAACAATTTTATCGTTAATTATTTATTTCGTTAAAGCCTGCCGATTAGGTTTACAAACACGGGCAGTTGAGAAGAAGAACTTCACACGCAGAGGAATCTAAATTATGTATTTACTCTACTTTGTTGTATTTCCGTGAGAATGATTTTGCTGTCATTGTGAAAAAATATGTTTCGTTTGCGATAATCATAACAGTGCATACATTTTTAAGAGGCATTGCGGCCATTGAATTTGTGTTAAAAAAGTAAACACTGTAAAAACAACAACACTGCCTTGACCGTGACCCCTGTTCCCTGCCACTTGTTTCAAGGAGGAAGCATCACACGTTGCTGATGTCAAACATTACCTTATGTCAAATGCGCTAAACGAGGAATTCAACAATTTTTTAACCTGTCATATGAGTCTAACCAGTAATGCAGAATTGTTCCATATGTACGCATTGTACGAACATATCTCAAGGCGCATTATGGTGGAATGTTTGCACTCTAAATAACCGGACCCGTAAAAAGTTGAATTTCTCCCTTACAAGTTAAATGCAAATTAAAAGAGTATATTACGTGCATTAAAATACAAACAAATTTAAATGTGCAAATATATACAATACAGTCCTTACATTTAAAATCATATACTAACTTAAAATATTGCAAAGTCGCTAAGCACGTTGTTTCTTATTTGTAGAATGACGGAATGGTTGGGGACAAAACACAAACAATATATTTTCCGACTCGTGAATTTCAAGGTTAATGTAAACATCCACACAAGACAAATGAGGGTGAGAAGGCTCGCTTACCTATTCCCGCATAGATGCCGTCACACATGAGCAGCATCACACACAGGATTCCTGACGGTCGCTCCATGGTCGAGTGGTGCCGTATAAATGGTAACGTCTTTTTTTTTCTTCAAACACTCCTTTGTTGAAGCGTGAAGAAGAAGTCTCTGTCCCACGGGGAGTTATGGGGAAAACGCCGGAGAGAAGTCACGTCAGTTACACTACGGTGTGCTTTAGTTTGCGTGTAATGCAGTCGATTCTAAGTAACCCATGATAAATAATGAAGAGCTTTGGGGAGAGTGGTGGTGGTACAGTGGTGCTCACACTGCGCTATGAACCCACAAACCGGTTTGAATCCAGGCCATGGGTAATATAAGTGGAGAGTGATATATTTACCGGTGCTGGGAACTCCCTCCCCTTTGCCAGCCTGCACTGACCAGCGGGATGAGGTTTGGTCAAACAACCTCTACGACCAATACTGCGAGCAGTGGATTGACAGAGGAGTGAACATATTCTTGGTTCTTTCGGTTAAAGTCACGTAGAAGGGAAACAATAAAATAATACAAATATTAAACAGTAAAATTCTCACGGCGTTTCGACTGCTGTGTTGCAGTCGAAACGTCGTGAGAATTGTATTGTTTCCCTTCTACGTGACTTTACCGAAACAACCAAGAATATGAATCCCTGCAGTCACGAAAGCTTAAATCAGAGGCATGCACGTTTAAAACAAACTTTTTATATGATCAGTGCCGATTGTTTAAATCGGCATTATTGCAAAATACTATTTCTGTTCCTTGATTTTAATTATCGTATTCAATTCTACTCAGAGACAGATAAACAATTGTTTTCGTTTAATTCTCTCATGACACATTTGGTAAGAGATGAAACACTGAGTTATACCATAAATAAATAATTTGCTGACAAAATGAAAATCACCGATGAGCTATTTCACGTCTCTTGTAAGAAGGAACACTTAGCCGTGGGAAAATTAGAGCAATGGTGAGTGTAATTCTCCATGCATTACCAACAGTGATGATACATTATGATAATTGTGCACCTTTTACATAAAAGACAAATGTTTTTGTTTATAGACAACAAATATCTACAATTGTGATTTTACTTTACAGAAATGTTTAGCTTTTAAAGAGGCCATTTTATTTCAAGTACATCTCCATAAATCTTCAAAGTGTTTTTTTTTTACTCTAAAACTATGCCGCAATTGCGTCTACAAAAAATACAAATACACAAATCGCGATGCAGTAGTACTTGAAAACTTACGACGATATTTTCCTGACAGATCTTCACAGTCGCTCGTCTTGGCGGATCATCTGGTGGCAGTAAAAGCCCAGCGTTGATCTCGGCACCGTGAGACCCAGGGAAGGCATCCCCGTGCCTCGGGGCTGTTTGCACGCCTTCCCGTCGATCCTCGTGTCACCAAACCGAAGCTTTCCCACCAGGTCTCTTTGGCTTCCACTGGGAGGTATTCCGTAAACCGCACGCCGCCGCCACCGCCACTCGCCCTGGCAAGTGACAGCACGCGGTCCGCCTCAGATTTTAAACTCGTCCCCGGCAGCCAAGTGTGTTTGCACAATAGCCCAATCAGTTCATCTCCTCCGCCGCCTCTCCCCCCACACACACCCGCCTCCTGAGTCTCACCTGCCATATGGTGCGCTTCTGTTGGCGGGGTGGAGGTGGGGGGCGGGGCAAGGCGGTGGCAGGAGTTGGGATGGCGAGAAACAGGGACCTCTGCTTCTTGCTCACAGAACAATCTTTGAGGAATTGTGCTGGTATTGAGTGATTGCGTTTTGAAATCGGAGGTTAAAACAACAGGACGGAGGGGGGAAAAGTACTGTATATACGCTAAACATTCAAATGTGAACGTAATAATGTGGTTGTTTCATTTGATATCCTTGGGTCGTATGACACTGATGTAGAATTCTCCAAAAGCAGACATCGACTTCGGTACTTTATGGTAACAGGGTTTACAATGTTTTGCGGGGTTACTGTCATTTGCATTCTTAAAACATTTTTCAAACAATAGGACATCCTGTAATGCAGGTCAGCGTTGTGCTACTTCTATTTTTAAAACAATGATAAGTGTGTGTGTGTTCAAATGAAAAATAACTCAACATCCGCATGCAGACCTGAATTTATATTTAGAAGTTTTTTTGGCAGAAATGCGAGCACATGAAAAAAATATATAGAACTGTAGCTTATTTATGTTTGGCTTCGTGTGTTTACAATATTTGATTATCTTCTGCAAATAATGTTTTAAATGAATCAATTTTATTGGATTTCAACCTTGAGTTGTCCGACAATTGTTTTAGTAGCCACAGCACGGTGCCGTCTGCATTTTTAGACTCTCCAGCAATTTGTCTTACTTCGTGTGACTTACGCGGTTATCCATGCGCAGAGGAGTCCATCTTAACTCGCCCATCTTCTCTATTAAACACAGTTGTAGGCAACTGCTCCGATTGACCTCCAGGGATCAAGACAACATTTATTCCTTATGTCAACTTTAATCTGTGTTAACACACACACAGAATACGCCCATGTGGACGCCGGGTTTATGTTTCACTCCGCTCCCACCCTCCACCTCGTGTCTTAGAACCGCGAGCACCTGCCGCTCAGGTGTACGCTCAAACACCGAGAGACGGGCCACCCTCAAGACAAATTTCCCCGAAAATGCAAGCACCTGCCACTAGCTCCCCCACCCCCCGTCCCGTGCTTTTCCTCTGCCTCCTTTGTAACCAATGTGTCAACTCATTTCATTCTCCCTGGCACCGATCAGTTTACACGTTTTGCACCGCAAACAATCACGGCTTACGCTGGTGTGTTAGTTTCGGAGCAGCTGACAACGTTATACTCCTGTAGAATGGGTTTTTTTTGAGTAGCAGAATAAAGAAACAGCCAAAATGGGAGGGGCACCGTGGACAACACAAAAGAGACAGAAGAGGGTGGAAGAGGTGACTTTACACAGCTGCCTTTGTGCAAAGTGAAAGTAAGGTGGGAGCGCTGGGCAGCCGAGGATTGAGTTTGTACGGGCACTGGGTAGAGCAGAAGGGGGGGGGGGTGCAGAGCCAAGGGTTGCACAGGAGTCACGTTTCACGCTGACATGAGGCAGCATGTGTCATTTAGACCGAAGCAGGTAATGAATTCTTGATGACTTTCGCAGACGCTGGCGAGTGTTCGTGCGGGCGGGCAGGGCTTTGCTCGTCTGGCGCGCATCTGATCTCGGCACACGTCGAGTGATTAGCGATCACCTCCGCACACGTGTCACTATGCTGGCTGGCCCACGTGGCACAGGTGCCATAAATCATTTGCAACATCTTGACTCAGGGCGCATACGCAACAAGGGTGCGCAAATCGCACTTCCCTGGACTTTCTTGACGCACTGGGAGCAAACTTTGGTAAGGACGAAAATAAAGAAAAATTAGCGAACCGTCGACGTGCATCACGTTGAAGAGTTAACGGCGTGTCGCCGCGTGAGCTCGCGTGCCGATGATGAGCATTACGTGCACTTCGATGGAAATCCTTCACGGGATTTTACACCGGTTTGTTTTCACAATTAATGTATGAAGGAAGGAAGGAAGGTGCGTGGTGCAGTGGACAGCCGATGCGTTCTGCACGTGTGCAGGGACGTGCAGGTTCGACGGACGTGGAGAGATGAAAGGTGGCACGGGCGGAACTGGCCCCTTCCGTCACGCTACGGGAGCCGCCCCGCGCGGCCCAATCGATTTCACCCTCGCGCCGCGAATTCTGCGCTTCCAACCCGAGATTCAGGACCACTGCAAAAACGATCGTGGCTCCCTCCAGGATGACACCGCTCGTATCTTTGATGGGTCATTGCGTGTTTAAATTGCCTGTACATACTGTGCGTAATCGGAGCTTCCCGTGGTGCGATAGTGAGCAAACTGGGCGTTCTCTCTGCATGACGATTGAAGCCATAGGCAGGACTATTAAATCCACCCCACTATGTACACCCAGCAGCGTAAATGGGTGCACCACAGATAGTTTATCGGCAGGTTGCGTGTAGTGGCCTAAAGTGTGGTTACTCCCAATTCTTCAAAGACGTCTTACCAGCGTGGGCCAGCAATGGCATGAGCAAGCATTTATTTTATTCAGGTGGAGTGGCATCTCAGTAGTTAGTGGACTATGCTATGAACCCGGTGACCTGAGTTTGATTCCCTATCACGGCTATCATCATAGGCGAAATATCTGAATGCGTCATGGGTTTCCCCCCTTCACAACCTGAACGGACCAGCATGGTAAAATGTGGTAAATACAACCCGCAAGAGCAATAAAGCAAAGGGATGCCCTCATCCGGCAGTGGATTGACCAATTGGCTGTAATTTACTAACTTACCATGTATATACGCTATTCTGCTTGTTTACCCACATTTCATACTGACCCTTCTGGCATTTGTTGTATACGCAACGCATCCTGGTGCAGTCAAGTGATTGGTGTTGATATTTTAATTAAGCACTCAAGTCATTATTGTGCTCTTTCAAACGCTCCGTCTTCATTGATCCGGAGCCAGTATTGGAAGTTCCATCATCTTGTGGGGATACCCATTCTGTCACTGTGCCGACTACTGCTGCCTCACCAGGTGGTGCTCATTTGAGCAACACCAGAAAGATGATGATGGTGGGCTGAGTCGACTGACAGATTCTTGAACTCACGACCATAGGGGTCATGAGCTCAGTGCTCCACTGACTCAATTATCCTGGTTGTTATGCATTTTTAATTGGGCCAGAGTAAAAGAGAGATACCTATGCCAATAAACACACAAGGATAGTCGACACATTGGATATTGTTTCTTCGTTCGCAATATATTTGGAAAGTGCATGCCAACATAATAATGATTATGACACCCATATTAAACAACATACGATCGGACTATTGCCATGGCAGTGTGCTGATGTGTCTGTAGGTATCAGCTTTGTACAGCGCATAGGTAAATAATGGAAGTATATTTTAACATTATTTTTTTCACTGCAGTGTCTTCTTTCAAATAAAAGGCCCACTGATAGCTTTGCTTTCATGCTACACTTTGTTCTTTGGCTCAGCGTAAGCGGTTTAAATGGGAACGTATCTGGTTGTCTTTGCGAGGCACCATGTGGGTTCATAATGTTCATCAGTCGAGCGGTCTAGCGGTGTCTTTTTCACACATTTTTATGCGTATCATATAGCTGCTCAGTTCAGACAGGAATTCTATTTTATTATGACTTGGTTTATCGATTGTTTTATGATGATTTAGAGTTTACACTAAGATACTGGGACGAATATCCTTTTATTTAATTTTTTACTCAAATAGATTTTACTTAAATGTTTACAGTATATTCTTGGTTCTTTCGGTAAAGTCACGTAGAAGGGAAATAATAAAATAATAAAAATAAAACAATTAAATTCTCACGACGTTTCGATTGCAACACAAGCAATCATCATCAGCATTCCAAACGTCGTGAGAATTTTATTGTTTTATTTTTATTATTTTATTATTTCTCTTCTACGTGACTTTACCGAAAGAACCAATAATATGAATCCCTGCAGTCACGAAAGCTTTAAATCGAAATTTGCTTACAGTATCTTAAGACACCCTTTTCGGATTTTGAACGATCAATACTAGAATTGACAACGTCCCCCCCCCCCACATTTATTGTAATTCCCAAATCGAGGTGATGTATAAAGCGGACAATGCATTGGCACTGTGGTTTACTGAGTTCGGTGACCTGAGTTTGATTCCCGGACATAGGTAACGTAAGTGGTTTCTGAATAGACCCGACTGACCTGCATAGTTGAGTATGGTTGAACAGCCCCCAACGATTGACATGGCATGGAGAGTACTTCACGAAGCAGTATATTGAGAATGAGTAGGAGTGCAATACACAAGTGTACACATTCCAATATAATCGCCCTGGCCAGGTGCACGGGCAAAGTGTCCTGTCTAAAGGGTACTCTACTAACCAAGCATTGGACAAAACCTCAGTATCAATCTTGCTGAATCTCTACTCTTAAAGTGTTCAGAGGCAATGATCTACTTTTGTTTTTGGATGGCAACATTTTCATTCAGGTAGCTTTAATTATATGTTTTGTGCTCTGATTAAGAACATTTCAGTTACATTCGAGTATGTCATGAATACATGTTTATTGTATACACAACCAAGATGCCTGTCGATACCAACAAACACAATCGAAAATGGTTGAACACAAGCGGAAAGTTCAATCAAAGACAACACTTGTTAAGTTTCACAGCACTGCCCCTGTTTACCCACAAACAAATGAAGAACAAAGTAGCTGATTACAAATGACGATCACAATCAATCCCGATGCCTTGGAGTGACGCCTGCAATTAGAGGGGCGCTGCATGTTGTGTGGGCAACTGTTAAAAACCATCAATTACGCATTCCCTTGTTAATCACTTCAGTCCTGCTCACCCCCTCCCCACCTCCTTAAAATGCCCTCCCAAAACAACACGAAACCTTTAACGCGCCAAAACATGTGCGCCACTTGTACGAACACGAGCAACATGCAAGAAAGTGCTCGCTCCCCAA